GTAACTGCAGAAATTTAGCATTTTTTTCCTTTTCTCTAATGTGCAGGACAGGATCATCACTGATATTTTGCTTCTAGTGTTATATGTTTTAGAGCTTTGTATCACGTTTTCGAAACATTCGGCCCCATACCTTGGTTCTGCTATTTCCGAAATTGTTAAAATGAAGTAAAAGACTAAATAAAGGGACAATACCATAAATGCTACTTTAAAATAGGTATTTCAAGATCGTAACGATCCTTCTCTCATTTATAGTCGCACTATGTATCTCACACCTCGAAGTGTGGATTAAAGGATTTTATCAAATTAGTGAGGGGTTACATATTAGAAAAGTAAAGAATATGTAAAAGATTAAATTAGCAACGTAAATTTCTCTTCTCAATTCTAAAAATAGTAGCCTCTCTCTGCACTGTGTCATTTCATGCCAAGCTTCATTCATGTTCCCGACTGCCAAAATATTACATATAAATATACAGTTTCTCTGTTAAATTGAAATTAAGTATTTCGTATTTATTTATGTGATATACTTTCTGTATGACGAAAACCTGGGGTCAAATAGAAATTGTTTAAAATATTAACTAAAATTGGGAATAAACTAACTAAATAACAATTATTTGGTTTAAGACAATTCCTTTTTGAATATTTCTGGTCGCCTTTTTATGCAACATCTGTGACCAAATGTGGTCTTAAATTTCCTTTTCATTGCAATACTAAATATAACCTGAGCTCTATAATCATATGTTAGTGAATATTCGATCGCGGAAATATAATGGTATATGATTTAAACTTTATTTGCCTAAAATATAAGGAAAGAAAAAAGAGAAATTCTGAGTAATTTTCAAAGCTAATTTTAATAATAATAGCCATTATAAAGCAATAAATTAATTTTCATTCTAAAAGGAAGAAAATTAGAATTATTTTCCCTCTGTTTATGGCCCACCAGCGGCCGAGCGGTAAAGTCGCTGAGCACTGGTAGTTCGGTCCGAGGTTCGAATCCCGCGAACGGGCTGGCTGCATGGGCGTTTTCGTGGTTTTCCCCATGTGTAACGTGGATACGAGCCAGTTTCCCTTAGAAAGTCCTCCACGAAAGGCATCCCTCCCCTTAGGCAGATAGCCCTAGTGTGCTTTGCCATAATTAAATACACCACACCACACCACTCTCTGTTTGTGTTAGCCCTCCAAGCCTTGAATCTCATTCAAAATAGGGATGTCTCTAACATCATCTATTAAAACTTACATGCGAAAACAGAAACCCAAAGCTGTTTGTTGTTTTTAAACCCAGGAATAAAATATTCTACATATCTTTTAGCCGAACATATTTTGTTGATGAATCATTCAAATTTCTCTAAGCTATGCGATTCACTTTAATCAACGCTGGCATTTACAAAATCCCAAAATATTTCTGCTACTTACCCACATAAGTTACTTCGTTCTTTTCTGCGAGAGACAAGGCGAACCTTGAATTTTCAAGGTGGACCTTGGATTAGAATGTAGTTTTGAACTTGACTTTTTATTCAATTATCATTTTCTTTTGTGGCAAGCCAATTAGTTTCTGAAACCTATTCACCCTGCACGTTTCGATAAGATAAGGGAATTCGGTGACTTTGCTTGTTGCATATTGCAAAAGATAAGTGTTAGATGAAATGAAAGAATCGTGTATGGTTAGCTTTAATTTTACGCATACATAATTTGTCCTCGAGTGATTAAAAACAAGAGTTTGGATCCCGATTGGTAATCTATATTCTTTGAATTATAAAACGTTTTTGAAATAAGAATAATAGCGTTTATATTGTAGTTTGAGCTAAAAATGTACAAATATATGTTTTATCGAAGGTTACAACAACAGGATGGCACAACAGTACTCTTCGCGGCGCAATGAACCGTTCAAGTTCCGCGGTATAATATCAAATTCCCTTTTCTTTCGGCCCACCAGCGGCCGAGCGGTAAAGTCGCTGAACACTGGTAGTTCGGTCCGAGGTTCGAATCCCGCGAACGGGCTGGCTGCATGGGCATTTTCGTGGTTTTCCCCATGTGTAACGTGTATACCAGCCAGTTTCCCTTAGAAAGTTCTCCACGAAGGCATCCCTCCCGGGGGGGAATTAGCACCTCGAACTTCAATGAATTAGAAATATCATTGATTCGATGCTTATACGGAAAAATCAGCCGCATTCCAACTTTCGAAAACCTTCTAAAGAGATTGCATATATTTTTATAAATCAAGTGGGCTGCTATTTTAAAATGCAGTAAACTTTTTGAAGTAAGTAAAATCTTTCTTTCTGTTTGTAGAATAAGTTTTTAATTTAATGGAAATATCTTACAGGTAGTCTGATTTACAAGTAACTTTGCTTAATATATCGCTTACAAGCTTGCATTGATAAAATGCAAGATTACTGCAGGCCTAATTTAATTGTAACATTAAATTGTAAATTAAAAGCAGAAGTTAAAGTATTAGTTTAATAAGTGATCCTAAATTGCAATTTCACCAACCGAATGAAAAATGCAGATTCGTTTTTAATTGTCCGTACTTTTGAATAAATCTGTTTTTCAATAGTTTGATACTCTATTCCTTTTATTATACAAGGTCACACAACATGCTTTGTCCAGAGGTAGTCAAGTGGGGGTTCCGTACCTTGCTGCTGTTTCGTTTTTAAAACTATTTCAGAAAAATCATTTGAAATAAATATAATTTTCTGTTGCAATAACTCGGGTTAATTATCTCAGGATGTGTTCCTAACCATTGGTTGAATAAAGCATACTCTGCGGTTCCTTAGAATCAATATGTATCTTAAATTGTCTCTAATGTGTACAGAAATCAGTAGCTGAATCAAACGACATTCAGTTGATGATTTATCAATTTTTAATAATAATTATTAATTATGCTGTGCTAGCTAATGAAGGAAAAAAAACAAATACGAACAAGTCTCTCCTGGTAAAGAAATTATTGTAAATCGTTTTAAAATATACTGTTTCTTTGTTTTCTTTTTCCATTGCGATTTTTCTCAGTGTGGTATTATTAATCAAAAAATATCACCTGACAAGAAATATTGAACAAAAAACATCAGGAAGTATTACTTCATCAGCTCTAATCTCGATAGGTAGCACTTAGAGATAACTCTATCTTGATAAAGCTACAAAAATAAATTTATATCTCTATTTATGTTTTGAGTAACACTTACAGTGGATCACTGCTAAGATAAATAAATACTTTGACTCGTTGAAACCTAAATATGCTTGTAACTTTATCTCAAAAAATTATCTCAATATTCTAGTTATGTAAGCGGTATTATATTGCGTTTAAACATTACATATTTGAAATTATTTTTTAATCTGTGGCATTCCCGATACTTTGTCTGATGAATTTATTTCCATTCTGAAACCGGTAAGTTATTTATGCAACGTTTTTTAATATTTTTAATTTTTAAAACATTTGACCCAATTTTTTTACTTTACATACAGATATATTTTATTTCTTAACAGGAATATGAAGAATTACTTAAGGCATAATTTATACATTTGTATAAAGAGACTTTTGTTAAACTTTTGTTTAAAAGAAGATAATGTGCTGATGTGATTGAATTCAAACTGCTGTTACGAAAATCTTCTCAAGAGCTATTTATCCTTTCAGCGTAGAAGAAAAGTTTCTAAAATTTCGTATTAGTGAACTTAACTAAAACGGCTTGCCAAACATTTATTTTGTTATAAAATACTAGAAAGCTCGGCGGTCATATGAAATGACGGCAGTTCTAGATATTAGAAATTGTAATTAAAATTATTTGTGCAAAGGTGTCTGCTGATTCAAACTGAATTAACCAGGGCAGACGGCGAGGACGCCCTTTGCTTACTGCCCCATGTGCCCCATATTAGTAATCACAGCAATATGTTTTTATTTCGGAGTTTCATATTTTTTTCCAACCTTTGTAGACTGAAGTTATAAGGTATTTCTCCCACTTTCTTAGCGTGCTTTCGTTGTGTAGTGGTTCTGCACGCTGAATCGGTATTCCAGAGGTCTGTGGTTCGATCCCAGGCGAAGGCGTTTGCTCATTTTTCACCTCTCCGTCTTTTCAAATCAACCTAATGTCTCTACAGTGGCGCCCGAACTAAAAGGGTGTTGGATGAGGATTTTCTATACCCAGGATTTGGAGATTGGGTCCTCTAAAAACCCCAGTCGCCGTTTAAAAAAGGGACTATATAAAGTATTTCTTCCACTTTCCCAGCGTGCCTTCGGGTTGTAGTGGTTCTGCATGCTGGCCGGTATTCTGGTATTCCAGAGGTCCGTGGTTCGATTCCCGGCGAAAGCGTTTGCTCATTTTTCATCTCTCCGGCTTTTCCAATTAATCTAATGTCTCTGCAAAGTTAGATGCCGACTTGGTAAGACGCGTGTTTGAATTTCTATCGCTGTGTAGACAAAAGAGCAGTCTTTAGTCAAATTAAATTTAAATTGTTTAACTTATACTAATTGTGAAAAACCTAGTCCAGGTTGGCTCATAAATTTACGTTTGCATATTTTAATTTAATCATTTATAGTTATTCAGGTATAATAAAAGTGTTTTAATTTTGTGTCTGCTTATTTGATGGTTAGAAATTCTGGTGGTGATATTTCACTTCATAGAGCATAAATAATACCTTATTGTTATTGTATCGATCTAAGTTATTTGGAACGCATAGCTGGAGTTATGTTACTGAGGACTGAAAATAGTGGTTTGACATTAAAAACGCTGGTTCAGTAATAATGTTATCTTAAAAAACTCTTCTTGGAAAATTTACTCTAATTAACTATGTACTTCAAACCTGTGGCTTATATTCTTCGAGTTTATTGTTCAATGAGATACGAAGTAGTTCAATATATAATATGTCCCATTTTAGATGCAGTCTTAAATGTTCTGATGCGTTCGTAAATGCTACCTATCCGCTCCGAATAATTTAATTTGCATAGTAATAATGAGTTCATTTATATAGTAATTGATATATATTAATAATTTAACTACCTCTTATTTGTCCTACAGGAAACCATAAAAATTCTGACAAATGCATTCTGAACCTTCCTGCCCAGAAATGGAGAAATCTACTGTGGCAAATGGCTTCACATCTGTACCTGAAGAGAAACAGTTAAGTTGAGCCTTCAATATGATACAAATTAATGCACATGTAATCCTAGTAATTTACATGTATATTTTTATCCAATATCTTAACATATCTCCCGTTTCCTGCGACTCTGTTAACATTTTGCACTTGTCTTTGCGTGAGTTATGTTTTCTGTTTCTCGGGCTCATTAACTTCTCATTTACACTCTAACAGGCTTCAAATGAGTTCAAAATCTTAAAATATTTTGACAGCAGTTGAAAGAAATTAATATGCAATTAACTGAAAATATGAATAGTAGTAGAGTGCGATTTTTAATTCTGTCCTTTTGTTTCAGGTTTCTAAAATTTCATAGAACCTTAACATTTATTCCCCTCAAGTTTTTGCCTAACTCATGAACAGAATAGTTTTATAAAAATTAAAAATTAATCATTTTTAAAACTCTGATAATTAAATGAATTTAGAAACTGGAAACTTTCAAAATTTCCATTTGAACTTGTTCAAATCTCGTACGCATCTACAACAAAGGGAAGGAAAAAAAGGGATTTATCGTAGAACTCAGATAAGTGGTAGTTAGCAGCTTTACTTTTTCATGCCATCTTTCATGGGAAAAAGCGTCTTTTCTTAAACAAAGATAAAACTCGTATAAAGTTTTTCTCATAATTTTTTTTATCTTTAATATTCCGATTTTGAAGCTTATTTATTTTCAGAGAAATTTTTATTATCGAGCAAATTTTAATTGGTATAATTGTCAATATATAAAGGTCATCTCCAAAGCGAAAGTTTCGTACCACATTATTTTGCTTACAAATATTATAAAAATAATGAATACTTTCGGGGGCAGCCACTTACTTACACCTAAAAAGATTACTTCTAATATTGATCAGTATTTTTTAGAATATAAATAAATATTGCTATTCGTAATTACAATATTAGTCTTTAAGATATTTTAAATTTCAATATGGATCAAATGTATATTATGGCGGCCGCTAAAATATCTAATTTTCCGATTAATCTGAAATATTTTACATTGAGCATATTAAAGAATCGCATTTCATATTCATATTATAAGAGAAAACTATCTGTATGCAAAAGAATAGTTAATGATTTTTTGAATTATTAACCGCTTGCACGGCTAGCCGCCTAAAACAGTTATTTAAAAAAAACTAATTATGATTTTAATGGATTTCAATTTAACGGGTTCAGCTGGTAATTAATAATAATTTAAACAAATCTGCGTTTCTTGCTCTTAAGTTGATTAGTTTGTTAATTAATAGCAGAGTAAATTTGAGAGAAAAATTAAATAATTTAACACTCTGCCTCGTGGAAGATACAAATATTTTAATTTGGTTAGTGGTAACACATTTCTTTTAAGAATCTGAGTTTGTTGATTAAATTCAAAACACAATTATATAAATTTCGCTAAGTTCACTTCTTTCACATCGTTGAGTTTTCTGATTTTACGCTTCGCTGAATGGCAACACAAAGCTTTTAAATCGCTCAGGTTTTACTCAAAAGTACATTCAATTTGTATAAAATAAGACAATAATGAAAACCAAATTCAAAATTCAAAGTTCAGGCTTCGAGGTGCACATGTTCGGGTGATGGACTATGTATGTTCCACATATGGTGGCTCTAGGCGCCGCCGTTTTTTCACAGTGCGAAAAACATTCTGACATACAGATTCTTTGTTATTTAATAGAAGAGATTAAATTTATCCTGCCTAGGATTAGTGAAATTTATCACGTGGCTTGTCTAATGGATTTGATGCTGCACTTTTCAAATGCTTCATCATATTCCAGAACTTTCGATGCGAACTTTTTCATTTCTTGCTTGATTAATAATGTTTAACAAATCAACGTTCAAATGCCATTAAAAAGGTTTATTTCCATTTTTTTTTTATTTTATTGGGACCAGTGATACTTGTTTCGAAGAAAAGAGTTGACTGCATATATATGTGGTCTTTAATTCTGAATTTCTCTAAATCGTTAAGTGATTAACCCTATTTTAAGATGTTTTAATAGTATTGTATTCAGATGTCTCCAAAATAAAAGGTAAGAAAATTAAATTAGAAAATAATTAAAATTTACTGCAGATACCGCTGATGGTTTAAAAGAAATATGCAAAGAAATACAGCAGATGTCTGAAAACATTGGGATAAAGAAGTGATTAATCAAAACAGAAAATCTCGTACACACACTTTTGGTTCTATACCTCAGAATGTCGTTAGTATTTTTGAAACTACTAAACAAAATACATAATGAAAGGTTTCATAAGAAATTTCGATTTACGCTAAAGATCTCTTTTCGGTATTTTAAAATATTATTTTTTAAAATAATATTTTTTAAAATAATATTTTTAAACGCGGAAATCAGATCTTTTGTGAAAAAAAGAAAAGTTAGGTAATTTTTATATACTTTGATTCCCTTTTCCGTATTATTCGCTTCTTATTTTTATAATTAATTCGTTGTTAAAAATATAGCAGCATTAATGAAGTACAGTAGAAGTAGAAGTAGTAGCTCTCTTAATCAGCAGCAATCAATTCCGGCTAAGAGATTTTTCCTGATGGTAGAATATATATTTCTAGAGCTTGCCTGCCCATGTTTCTTGATGCTATCTGTAGAAATTGTAGCATTCAAAGTCCATTGGTCGTTTTTCGATCTATCGGCCACTATTAAATAAATAATCATAAAATCGTACAGATTATTTAAAATTAAAACACATATCCATGGTTCTTATATTTCAGAAAAACAAAACTGAACATTTTAAAATTACTGTATGACCTGAAAGCTATCAATTTCTTCGTGTGATGGCACATAACTTCAAATGTCTTCCTGCTTACAAGATTGTTGCCGTAGTTTTAAAAATTTGCGGTATATATAATGAAGCTTTATACCATCATGTTCGGGCACGGATGAAAATTTTTCAGCAAATTTTATTTTGAAAGTGTGTAATTCTTCTTCAGCTTCCTTCCACATAACTCTCTTGCTGTGCGTTTCTATTATCTTTATCTTCTTTCCTCCTCGTCATTTTTCGTTCCCAGGACATGCCCGATTACTTCATCATCAACTAGACAGAATGTGACGACAAAAGAATTGTTTAACCATCCAATCTTGCATCCATCGAAGCTTGAAAGTACGGATGTTTGTAGATGTAGAGTGTCTGGTAGGCGCAGAGGTACTCAAAATATACAGTGAGCCGAAAATTCTCTAGAGTGGTTTCTCGGTAGGAAAGAGGGTTTGAGATTCCCTGGGTCCCACCTCTCGAAGAAGTGCTGTCCCTCAAAATTAGGGCAGAGCTGGGCAAAGTTCTATTATCATCTATAGTGTGCTTAGTGTTGTGCACCTATATGGTGCTCTGTCACCTATAGGATGCTATATTGTGCCAACGGTGGACGCAATCTTCGACTCCTCCCCGAGATAAACTTCGTAGACTTGTTCTGATTAGGTCAGACAAGCGAGATTAGCAACAAAAACAACATAATAGTATAATAGTTATATAAGCACGGCAAAAAAAAAAAAAAAAAAAAAAAAAAAAATGATTTCTTTGCGCGATTTCAGATATGTAGCTTTTGTTTATGTTGTGCTAAAAGATTCATTTCGTGTTCTAATTAAAATTAAAAAAGATCTAAGAATATTTTTGTGAAGTTTATGCGATAAAAGTTTTCTTTAAACAATAAATTTTTTAAACTTTTAACAATTAATATTCAGCATTAAAATTTCATCGCAAATGACCTGCATATATTTTCAAATATTATTTACTTATTTTTGTAACCACTATTTATGTCTACTTTTAAATTAAACTTTTGTTATATTTTTTGTAGTGATGAACTTAAACAAAATTCCCTGCCAAGAAAGGTTTATGTTATGAGGAACTCTGTGTTAACGTAAGTAGGATTTTAAATTATTTTGCATTTTCAATATAATCAACAATATTACTTTTTAAACCTATCAAATATTAAAACTATATCATCCTTGTTACTAAAACAGGTTGAATGTGAAAAAAGTGATTTTTCAGATAACGTCAAAAACAGATATTTTTCTAAATGCTTTAGCCTCAAGAGCCATTCTTGCGCTCTTACTGTTTCCTTACTTCCATGTCGGGCAACTAGTGGCCAAGAGATAAAATCGTTGAATACAGGTAGCTCGACTCAATGAATATGGACTGGCTGCATGAGAGCTTTCGTATTTTTCGCCGTGTGTAACGTGAATACGAGCTGGTTTTATTAAAAAGACTCTCCACGAATACTTCATTTACCTTCAGCAGATAGCCCTTGTGTGCTTTGCTGTAATCATGTTCTACCACATAAAAGTTTTTGTAAGAGGCTAGGCGTTGTTACATTTACTTGAATACTGTTTTAAATTTAAAACTGAATATTCTCTAGCATACGACTTATATAAATTTGTTATTGTCAATAATAAATTTTCTAATCTTACATTCGAATGTACGAGAATATGCTCTAGTATTAACAGCTAACATAATGAAACATGAATAATCTTTGGAAAATGAGAAAATAATAAATAATTTCTTCTGGATTCAAGACAGCTAGTTTCCTTCCTCCTAAATTTCAACTAATTAACACTTTCCGGTAAGCTACCTTTTAAAGTCAGTTTTGATTAAAAAAAAAAAGGTAGGCAGTCTAATTAGACCTAGAGGAATACATAAGTAAAATTTTGTGAAGATAGCACTTATCGTTTTAATTATGTGGGTGTGCCCAAAGTGGCACACTGATTGAATAGAGCTTCGAAAAGAGTGCTGAAATTAGCATTGTTGTCAAGTACTGACCGATGAGATGCGAAGAAACAAAGAATACAGACTCTCAGTTGTCCTAGATTATCGGTGAGCCCGGTTTGGATATACCTAGGGTTCGCCGTTTAATTTTAGGCAAGATTTCAAGGTAAAAATTTAAAACTAGTATAGAATAAGGAGATTAGCATACAGCCAAAAAAGTAACATAGAAATTTCTTTTCAAACAATTCCTTTTATACCTAAAAAAAGTCTGGAAGTTTTTAATATAATTTAAGGTTTTAATATAATTTTTACAATCATAAATGATCAATGATTTAAGATTTTAATATAAATATAGCCCTTTAGTTGAACTTATCACAGCCTAGTACAGCTCTTAAACCATATGTCTGAAGATAATAAGGTAAGAATGGCAGAAATTAGTATATATTTTTTAACATGCATTTTTTTACAATTATAAATGATCAATGATTTAAGGTTTTGTTGATTCTAAATAATTGCATTTCTAGGGACTTGATGGAAGTGAATCATTTGCAGACTGTTTTCAACATAAGTGTTTCTGTTTGTATTCTTCTCCTAATAAATGCTGTGATATATTATTCTGCTGATCCCCAAATGTAAGTCTATGTCGAATTTGTATTTCTAGATAAAACCTATAACTGCTTGCACAAGTAATTTTATAAAGTTTTAATTGGATTATTTGTTTGATTGTTTGGTGAAATGCTTAAAACTGATTGTTAACTCCCTTCTATCGAGCCTATTTTCTAAAACTTTTGTTTTTATATATATCGCCTTGGAACACATCTTTAAGGAAAACCTTTTTCAAAAATCAAGATATACATATATATGTATATACCGTGTCTACAAAAGTTATTTCCCAGCCTTATTCTTGCAACCGTTGGTCGTAGTTTACTCTCAATTACAAAATGTTTTAAATGACACACAAATATTCATGTTTTGGCACTTTTAAATTTAAAGAAATCGATTTTTGTAAAATTTACGAAATCTAACTTCTTGTACTTTCCTCCGATCTCTATACTCATATATAGGAAAATTTTGTATTGGTTTTATGTTTGACTTCCTTTCGACAAAAATTGATCGAGATATTTCATTTTAAAATTTCCGAATATTGACGTCATTTTCAATTTCTGTTGAGTGGTCGGTTAAAAATCAATTAGAATAGCTCGAAGTTGATTTTTTTCCACTTAAACGTCGTTCAATGTTTATTTTTTTCTTCTTTTTCTTTTTTGTGATTTCCTAAAGCCTTTGTTTTATAATTTTGTTATATTTGGCATGCCGAAAGAAGTTTTACACAAGTAATTTATACGTTTTCAAAGTCTAAAAGTATTTTAACATTCTCATGGAGTTTTATTGTTTTAAAATCATAATCCGATAATTCTAGGTGCAATTCATCAAAATACAAATATTTTTAATTTTTAATTAACGCAAGTAATATTACGAGTCGGCTAAGTGACAATACTGAAGCATGTCAGCGTTTTCCAGAATACGAATTCTATATGATTCTATGAAAAAGATCTTCATTTTTGAATAATTTATGTTAATCAAAATTTTTCAAAATAATTGACATACAAATATTCATCACTTACACTCTCTTAATATTTCACGCTTCAGTTTGTCTATGTTTCTATTTAAATATAAATAAAAACAAAATATCACTTTTAAAAAAAGTTTCTAATCCGAATAGATTAAGTAATGAACACTTCTATGTAGACTGCCATGAAAAGTACTGACCATTACAACATTTTTTTCAGAAAAAGAGATCTTACTCATAGAATTAATGAATTCGTATTGTAGAAAAAACGTTGGCAAACAGTGCGATATTGATTTTTGCTGTAAATAGTGATCTTTTTCCTTTTTTTATTTACCCTTTTATGGACTAAAATGTCTAAAAAATTTTTTAAAAAAACCTTTTAAATTAGACAATTTTATTTAGAAACGTTAAAATTAAAAATGTAAGTACTTGTAATGCGAGTGATTAGTATATTCAGGAAAATATGGTCTGAATGTGGTAATGAATCAAGTTTATCATTCAATGGTTCAAATCTCTACAAGATTACAGTTGATTTTTTTTATTTTGTTGTACGAAGTTAAGGAAGTAATTGTAATTGCGAAAAATTTCGGGTATCATATTGGTAATCGAAATATTCATTTTGCCCTTTCCTAAAACTATTTGTGTGATTATTTTTTTCGTTTCGTCTGTACGTACGGACAGACTAAGGGACCTTTTTTTTTTTTTTTTTTTTTTTGGAAACACATTGTAAAGGGAGTTCTGCATGACGATTGTATGTACGTATGTAGGTATGTATGTATCTCGCAGAACTCAAAAGCGATTAACTGTAGAGAGTTAAAAATTTGTATATGGGACTGCTATAATACCTAGATATGCACCTCCGTTTTTATTGCAATTGGCAGTACCTGAAATGTGTACACTCATCCACGCACCCCTTACCCGGCTAAAAGTCCTTACCCAATCTTTATTTTCGCAGTCGTTGGTCGTAATTACAGAAGTGTTTTAAATAACAAAAATATTCATGTTTTTGCAATTTAAAATATTTTAAAATACTTAGTTTTCGACAAATGACGCAATCTAACTTTTAATGCAGTGTTCCTGTTCATATATATATTGGAACACTCACTTATATTTGGGAAAGTTTAATACCTGTTATGAAAAATAAAACTATAAGAAATCTGACTTACATCTGACAAAAATTGACCAGGATACTTAATTTCAAAATAGGCAGTTTCTGATGTCATTTTCAACTAGACCTGAAAGAACGGCTAATTAAGTTAGAATAATGCAAAGAAATATGTTTAAATGAAGTGCAGCAAATATATATATATATATATATATATAATTTAATAGGCCGTACAAGGAAGTCATCCACATTAGATTTTTTTTCCTATTTTCACCTTTGACCAGCCTAATAATCTCTTTATTTTCCAGACTAATTTATTTCTCGTCGTCAAGCCGAACACTAAGTTAAACGGAGATACGGCATCTTTCCTATTCCAGGTACAGTCAGTATGTGCTCATATACTTGGTGTAAAGATGTGCAGAGCTCTAATAAAATATATGAAACTAATTTAATGAACCTTAATTTTTTTTAACTCTTCGTCCTTTAAAAAACATATCTCTAGCAAAATGTGCCACCAAACGTTAAAATGAATCAATAGGATAGTTTGAGAAACATATTTTCTATAAAATATTTTTTAAAAAAATTCAATCATGATAACGACAGCTTTTTTCTGGTCATTTTGAATCTGCCCTAGCTTTATTTTCCATGTATCATAATTATCATCAGCAGCGGTTTCCAAGGAATCTGAAGCAATTTCATTTAAACTATCGTGTGTTTAGAAGTCAAAAAATCATTTTCGTGAATTTATTACCAAATTATTCCATCAATTAATACTACTTTTTATGTCTTGCTGTCAAAGTTTTATCTACAAGAAACGAAGCGGGTAAACTTATTCTTCAAAATCAGCTGCTTTTCAACTTAGTACTGTATGATATGCAGATAGCCCTAATGTGCTTTGTTGTAACCAATAATCCAATCCGTTCTGGAGAGAATTTTGGTTTGGACACACTCATAAGGTTGTTATATGAGTCTATCTTTTCCTCATAATATCTCATTTAAATCTGAACAATACTTACAGATAGCTATTAGAAATGCTATATCATTCAACCAATCATCTTCGTTCATAAAGCTTGCATCCTTTCCTTTTATTTCAAGGAAAGTTGCTTTAATTTCCTCAAGCAGCATTCAGAAATTGGTCTGCGTAATTCTCTGTTAGGATCTGAATTTTCAAGAACATTACGTTTCTGCTTGCTTTATTCAAGCTGTGAGAATTAACTAGTAGAGTCTTTTATAATGAAAGAAAAAAATCACTTCCTCGAAGCTTCGACCTCTTCTTGACTTTTTGTATACATCAAAAATAAATTTTACATTTAAAAAAACTGCGGGGTTATTTGCTTTAACAATTTAGATATAAGACGTGTTTAGCTTTAACACTCGTTGCATAAAAAGATTTGTTAGATGTAGTATCGAAATGTTTAGATTTGTAAAACACATTTAAAAATGTGCTTTTAAAAACCGATGCTTGCATTGTACTAAAACTATCCTTTACTTCAAATGAAAAATCCAGAAAAGCACTTATTTATTTCAGTAAATGGCTATCTATCATTCAAGGGCTCATAAAAGTGTTTTATTTTTTTTTTTAAATTCTGCTATGGAAATGGAAATGTGTTTTTTGTCTGATGTTAGGTACACTATTTTTCGTTTAAATTTAAATAAATATTTCTGACAGGAAATTTTCGCTTTTATTGGAAACACCTATTAAAAAATGTTATTTCTTAATGATTTCAAATTACGATTACCAGAAATAAATTAAATTTTAAATATTATAATATTAAAGTAATAGTAAATAGAGTGCCTTTAAACTTAATTTAGGTCATGATTTTTGCATTAAATCACAATTTATTGAATTAGATCACATCATTATCAACGTGCGCTTACATTAAATGAAAATTATAAAACAAAATTAAGCTTAGAGATGTTTGACAATGAGTCGTAAAAAAAAATCGCTAGCTTAAATTTGTTACCTTTTGATTCATCCTTCTGTGACAGCGAAAGGATTTCAGCTGCATCAATAGATTACTTTTCTGTATACACTGAAGAGCTAAAAAATTATGACCACGTACTCAACAACACATTGCGCGACCTTTAGCCTGCAGAACGGCTGCAACTCTGCTTAGCATGGATGCCACAAGTTCTTGGTAAATCACTGTAGACATGTTGTACCAAATGCCTAAGCAGCGGTCGCGTAAAATAGAGATATTCCCACAGTGGGGTGTTCGAGCTCTGAGCTGCCGCTCCATGACATTCCAAATGTAATCTATCGGGATAAGATCTGACGAGTTAGATGGCCAGGACATTAATTGTAATTCATCCTTATGCTCCTTGAACCACTCCAACACAATTCTAACCTTTTGATATGGGACGTTGTCCTGCTGAAATATTCCATTTCCAGTTGGGAAGACAGATTTCAATGTAAAGATGCAACTGATTCACAGGTTCAGACAGCCCGCATGGCTGTCTGAACCATGTCTGCTTCATGGTCTGTTTTACCATTACTAAGGGTCCCAGAGCCGCCCATGAAAATGCCCATCAAAGCATAATATCGCTACCACAAGCCTATATATGATCTGCCGTATGATCTAGGAGATGTATGAGAAATCGTGATTCATCCGACCAGACAATTATCTTACCACTTATACATGGTCCAGTCTTGATTTTCTCGGACCCTGTCTGAGCATAGTTAAACACAGTCACAGAGGCACACTAGTGGAACGTCTGCTGCGCAGTCGCATATTCAACAGTATCCACTGAACTGTGTTTCGGAAACACTTGCACTTGGACCTGCATAGTATTGAGCTGTCAGCTGAGCCAATGTCTGGTGCCAATTTTGAGACAATCTCCGACGTCCTTTTTCTTTGATGACGCATGGAAGTCCAACACCTTGGAGTCTACTGCTTATTTCGCTGTCATTTATCCACTTTGCATAAATACTAATAACGGCAGATCGCGAACAACCTACCAGTCGTGCAGTTTTGGAGATACTCGTTCCGAATCTTCGGGCCATTACAATCTGCCGTCTAATAAATTCGCTTAGTTCAGCAGCCTTTTCCATCACTCACAAAAATAATGAATGAATCCTTACCTTTTTCAACAGCAGTTAAATACAATTTCCACATAATGACATGCTTTCCTCTTCATCCAGACGCGTTCATTGAAAAATGTAAGGATGATCATAATTTTTTGGCTCGTCATTGTAAATCTAGACACAAAATTTGATAAATATATAAATCTATATATAATCTACATTTGATAAATATATAAATCTAATCGCTACTTTGAAAACATCAAAAACATAAGAAGCAAACACAAAGTAAAAGAAAAGTAGCAAACCTAACTTCTTTGCATGCTCGAAATTTCTGGGCAGCAAAATCGAATGTATCAGTCTCAAAAACTTAAGGAAGGACATTGATAGTACCGCAACGTTTGCTCGTTAATATTTCTATCTTCATTCGAAGCTTATATGAAAATAAATTTGATCATCCCGTAGTAGTATATATAGGATCACAATCAGCTGTGAAAGTTGAAATGAAATTCTCTGTTAATAGTGAAGTGGAGAGGCCACTTTACTATTATTAAAAGATAATGCAAATCTGAAAACGCGTTACTTTCAATAATGGTAAGCAATATGGTTAATATGTTTCAATAATTCTTAATGTATTTATTCATGTCAATTCCAAAGAATCACCTTGAATGTCTTCTTTATTTTGTTAAGTGGTAATTTTATTGAAATAAAACATTTACTCCCACGTTCATTATTACACTGTTCGTCACTCACAGCGGTTCGTTTAAATTTTCTTTATCCATAAAATCATTCTTCATAATACTTTATTTTTCAATTTTTTTATAGCTGAAAACAAATTCTCAGTTATATTTATAGATAGGTACATATCTATATATATTTATCCGCAGGTTACCACAAGATATTGGAGTCATGATATGGGGAGCATCGAAATTGCAGCTGTTTGCAAATATTTGGCTGTCATTCAATTTTTATGCATTGTTCATTTACCAAGGCTTCCGACTGTGGATTTACCTCCGAAACACCATTCATGCAAAGGCAAGGTCATATCGTTATCATATGTCAATTTTAAATTTTTCTTACAGCAATATTACTGAAGAATGTTCCCTAATATCATTTGAGACAAACTTATATGAACAAACAGGCACGGAATAATGGGACGTTCAATAAATAGCAATTAAAGTTCAATACTGTATGTGATTCAAGTACCTTTAGGACCTAAAGGTTTTAAATTGCTTCTCCCATTGCTATTGCCAAACATTATGTCTTACATAACTGAGACGTTCTCGGTACTCGTAGGTCATACAGGTACTATTCTGTTTTGAGGACCGTAAAAAATCGCCAAACTATTATTGATGCCGCCAAAAATAATTGCGGCGACCCTAACGCTAGAAAGGAAGTATTATACGAAATAACTATCTAAAGATTATTGTTTTAATTTATATGAAAGGTTAATTTCATATAATACTTTTTTATTATTATAATTTTATAAAAAAGGTTAAACATAACTGAATGGAAGCATAAGAGTAAATAAATGTTTCAGATTATTATTATAATTTATATAAGAAAAGGCTAACCATAACTGAATGGACTCTTGCATCGCTCTTTCGCTACCGAGTTATCACTAAAGCATATAATTTCATCTCGTTGGTTGTTCAAACATAATTTTCTATAATGAATGATGCCTTTTCTTTGAAAAAATTCTATTGCAGACTTTTCGTTATGGGCAATTCCCAAATTGTTAAATCTATGGGACATCAAAAAAGGACTTAAAAAATTAAACTAGTATTTCAATGCCGTCTTAAGAAATATAGAACTATCTAAACTACGCAATTTGAAATCAGCGCGTAAGCTAGATTTGGCGCGCTGTTAAATGGACGCTTTTGCTAGATTTGGCGCTTTTGCGCATATATTTTCGTTGCAATTTTTTACGGTCCTCAAAACGGAATAATACCGTCATTATATAAATTACGAATTTCAGGCATACATTTTCAGGTTCAGCTATTTAAATCTTAACGGGTCATGAATGCAAACAACAAGTCAAAAATTTTTTCTAATATTCTATCATTTATTCCAAGTGTAATAAATACACCATTGTTTCAGAGCTATTTACGTCCGAACTTAACTTCTGTGGCCTTTGTTTACACGCAGGGAAAAATTACATTTGAACATGAATAACTCGGAATAAAGGATGATTATTTATTATTGATTAGAATGAAACCATCATCTTAAACTAGCTGGTTTTTTTTTTTTTTCTCTGGCTTAACAAGAGCAGATCTGCTCGATCCAAATATAAATGTATATTGCATCATTTACTTACGATATTCGGCCAACAAATTATCTAATTAAGCCAGATTTACGAGACTTTCATGTTTTAAGGATTAAGTAAATAATAATTATTCGGGGGCTCAGTCGATGATGGAGAAAACTAAGCATCCTCCTTTTCAAGCGTTTTAGGAAATCTTTTTATCCTCACCCTATAGAACTGAGCATGTTTAGAAGCGGAAACACTTTCCAGTCATTCAAACACCACCGGCTTCAAAAGCACAGTTTATCAAGCTCGAAGCTCCGAGACTGAATAATGTGGCAATCTGTTAATCCAAGATTTAGGCTTCCCAAACGTTGAAGCTGCTAAACAGTGCACTTTGACAATGGTGCTTATGTCTAGCGGAAGAAGATCTTAAACGTTTACTCGATCTAATTCCTATCAAACATACAGCATTACTTTACTGCTAGTCAAAATTTTATTTCTGCTGATTCCTAACTGTTAAATTCTCCATCCAAATCCACTTTGACACGCTTTGACGTTAAGGCTTGGTCTTCAAATCTTGTGGTGACGGATTGATTGTGGTGACGGTGACCAAAAAGATGTCGATTCAAATGTACGGCAGCAAAGAAACAGGTACTTCCGTATACGAAATTTAAATAGAAAGATCGTTCTATTTAAATTTCGTATAAAGAAAAAAAGAGCTGAAGAAACAAAGAGCTCATGTTGTTGCATTCTTGTGTGCCTCTAAAGGTCTCTGTGAGCTCACGAACAATTATACATGGCTTTACTTAGATTCGCAATCTACAGATTTGAAGTCGTGGAGAGACATTCGCAAACAAAAGATTTACTCAAAAACTTATAAGAGATGATTTTTAAAGGATGGATTTAACTTAAATGCTTTTTATATTGCTTCATACCATCCCTTTACAAAACCTTATCGAAGAAACTTTGAGAACAATCGTGTGAAGAATTTTTCAATAAGTCCTAAAGCGTCTAGAATTTTCCACTAACCTAATATAAATAAGTAAATAACAAGAAAATAATCCGAAATTGCATGTTTCTAGCTGAGGCGGCAGTTATACTAACAGCTAATATAACAACTTCCCATCAATATGGCAAACTGCACTCTGCAACAGGTAGCTTAGAGAATGTAGAGAAAGAGCCATGAGAAATTTGAAGATTGCAGAAGCATAATTACCCAGCGGCGCTTTTGTAGTTGTCACTGAACGGCAACTAGGCAAAAAAGTGACAAAATCATTTTTCTTCTCGAATATCAGCAATTCGAGGCCTTAACAAGATTCTTCTTTAGTAGAATGATATTCTTGGATTTAGTTGCTCAGTAACGATTAATTAAAACAAGTCCTATTAGCAGAAAATTCATAGGGATTTTATCTGTAGAAACAATTACATTTTCTGCTATTAAGGCTATGCTTTTTACTTCTAATTTCCATATGCCATTTTTTCTGACACTATATTTTAATTTGGTTTTACTTCTCAAACGTCTTCGAAAATGATACTTATATATAAAGATAGATTATTATGGATCTAATAAAATTAAGGGGAAAATTCATAGTAATTTATCTGCACTTATTTAGCCATACTGTTAGATTAGGAGTATGGCTAAGTAAGTTTTCTAATTAAATGAAATCTCAACAGAGTAGTTCCTTTTTTGCGTTTTACGAAGCTTTTTAAGGATTTTTAATTCACAGGAGGAAGCAAATAATTAATTTTGATAGTTTCTTTCTGCTGTAAAGGACATTTTGTAAAATTGGTTAGAATATATTATTCTTTTGAATTTAAAATATGGCAAACTTTCGATTTGTATTGTAATTAAAATGCCAGTACTGAATTTTCGCATTTTAGATTTTAAAATTCTTCAGTCTTTTTCTCAGATGTTAAACTGCATTATATAACAGACAATCTCAATCAAGCAAATTAAACATTAATGCTATTTCATTATCTAAAGTTTCAGGTATTAAGCATTTTTTTCAGCAGGCGATGGGAAAAGTGTGCTCTGCCCTCGCTGAAACTCAAACTCCGGATTTTCTGTTGTTGGCCAGACTTGCTTTCCATTACACCTCGAAGGCAAGCGATAAGAAGAGCTAAAAAATATTACATTCTCCCCCACTTAAAGAGGGATTGAAGAAAAGGGTATCCAGTCGATGAATACCTGCCAGTGGTAAATTATCATTCACCACCTTTCAGGCGCCATATATAGAATCGTTTAGAATTTTTCGAAAACAGGAACCCGCAGAACTTCTGCCGGGATTCGAACTCCAGACCTCCCAATTGTTAACCGGATATGCTTTTAGTTACATCACGAAGGCATCAAGTAAGGACGATAAAAAAAACTTTACAAAATGGCACTTAACAGTGAAATACGAAATTAGGTTACAGTAAGTTATTCAGATTATTTGTCTTGAGAACGCACAACGCATTTCAGAACTAGATGCCTTCTGAAATTGATATAAAGCCTTGCTTCGTATCACCTGCAATTATTTACTCGGATCTGGCTGCGATGAATTTAAATTGTATCAGTATTTCACCTCGAAATTCAAGATTTTAAATAAATAAAAATATTAATTCGTTTATTCATGTAAATGAAAGGTAGCTGACATGTGACGGTAAAGAACAGTCGAATTCCATGTTAAATTTCTTTGACCTAAATATTGTCAATGACTTCTTTTTCTGAAGGCAAACAACTCATCTTACTTTTCACTACTTTGGAATGTCCTTTTTTCCTGTTACAACATTGCAAAAATTTCACAGTTAAGAATATTTGAAGGAAATTTTTAATATGCATAACTTTTGTATTTAACATCTACAGCGATTTAATTTTTATCAGGGATAATAAAAAGAAGTATTCCAAACTGGGGAAAAAATCCTACTTTTTTTATACAGTTTTTTGACCGGTCACTTGCAGATTAGGCATTCCTCTAGAATTCTGGCCAAATCTATCGGTCATTTGTCCGTCTTATCAATGAGAACGTTAGCCCCAGTTCACCTCAGAAAGTGAATGATATGCACCTATTTATATGCATTAATTTATTTATTTATCTACTTTACATGCATTTAGTTTAACAATATCTCCTCTTAATGAGTGATTAAAGTGAATTTCAAGTTTTATTATAGCCTCATACTTTTTGTTAAATTGTTCTCAATTAGTCGCAAACAAGCCGTTGAAAAATTTTGAAAACAACTTTTTGAATGTCAAAAGTTAGATGAAAATATATTTGTAATAACGACGTCAATAGGTATTTAAAAATGATTTATGAGATTCATAAGATGTTTTAGTTTATTATTCAAACGCATTAAGATTTTACGTGAGAGACTGAAAAGGTTAATTAAGTAAAGCAGCCACTGATAAATACAGCAGATTAACAGGCTTAGAAATACGAATTTTCTTACACAGATTTGAATTTTTTTACTTTCTGTTTGGTTTATTTTCAAATTTTTCATCATAAACAATCTTTAAAGTAGTACTGTACGAGTAAACATAGTACACACTCAAGTTAACCTACCAAAATTTGTGCAAAATTTTTCTTCTACGTATGAAAAACAGAAAAAGGGATAGATTAATATGAATGGGATAAAAAAATAAATGAAAAGAATGTTATATTATGTACTATATTTAATAGCAGTGAAAACGTTTTAATTCAATTTTAACACTTCATAATAAATCATAAATTTATATTGCCTGATGTTTATCATTCTAAATTTAATCATAAGTATGATATCAAAAGAAGTTCCAAAGACTGCAACTTACTTACTCATTTATTTAATTATCTTTATTTTTATTTGTTTATTTTAGCTTGCTGATTCAATTTTCCTGCTTCTTTACGTTGCGTCCATAGTTGTTTTCTTCACTGCTACAGCTTACATGTCTAGGAAGCATGATTTCCCACCCATTACTGGTTTTGCACTTGTGGCAGAACAGGTATTGAATTACGAATTTTCCCAATTTTCGTAATTTTGACTATTGTACCTCTTTTTGTTTTCTATGAACGTCTTTCTATAAATGCAATGGGTTATTTTTTGGTCATGAAACAATGTTCTAATCCGAAAGCAAATTATCGAAGATTGAGTAAGCAGCAGTTATTTAACAATTAAATATTTGTTATTTTTGCATATAACTGGCTTTTTATATTTCAAAACAGAAATTCGCAGAGTGCTGCATATCTTATCAAAAATAAGTTTAAAAAAATTTAAAGGAATTCAGATTTTAACATCACATCAGAGGGTTTCTTAAAATTTTTATGCTCTCGCTGAGCTCGCAATTTATCAATGTACTCTTAAACTCACTCTTACTAAGACAAAATTTTTTGTCTTTTTAACTTTATTATTAAACATCGCTTTTTTCTCACATTACGCCACATACATATCAACCGTAAAATCACAAAATTTTTAAAACCAGTTTATTTTTACAGTTTCCGATAGATTATTTAAGTATTTTCATATATATATTTCTAAGTTTTCCCATCTTTTTTCTCAGTTCATCATATCAATGTTCAGTTTTCTTAACAAATTTATCTACATAACTTTTGTCTTTACAATTTTAGTAATAAACATCAGTATATTCACACTTACGCCACATAAAATTAAACAGCCATATAAAAAATTTTAAAAGCAGCGTACATTTAGAATTCTCGATAGAGTGTTTTGCCATTACTTTTTTCACTCTTTTCTAAGTACATAATCTCAGTATTCAATTTTCGTAGTAAGATGAATTATACAACCTTTTTTTTTTATCTTTTTATTATTACTTTTGTATTAAAAGTCAACAGCAAAGTGACAAAATTTTTAAAAGCACATATCTTCAGAATTCCGATAAAATACTAAGTATTTTCTTTTCTTTAAAAATAATACTTTATGAAAACATTTGGTGACAACATGCTTTTAATTGAAAAGTGATACGGACCAAAAAGCGAAGATCGAGACTAATAGCACCACTGTTGCTTCTAAAAAAGGGGCGATTTTAGTTTATGTTTATCAAAGAAAATCAGTCCAGCAACATGTTTTACATTTATCAAATTTATTAATTTAAGATTATGGAGAGAGAAATAGAAAAATGTTTCATCATAAGAGTCAGAAATAAGTTTAGTAGAAATATTTAGTTGTCTTCAGAACAACTACAGTATTCAAACATCAATTTTAAGCTTTTAAAATTTTAATTTTTTTTATCATTTTTAAAATAAAAGTTTTGAACAATTATTGAGGATATTCGGAAACATTGAGTGGTGAACACTTTCTTTCCGGTCATTCAACTATACTTTTTTTCTTAAATTTTAAAGTACATTTTATCTCTATTTCTAATGACGGCTTTTCTGTATGCAAAATTTAGGTTAGAATCTTCATGAAAGTCTACTCCTTCGTTAGAGAAAATGTTCCACGAGCAGTACGATATAATCCAAAAAAGGGTAAGTTATTTTTTAAATTAATGTTACATAAAATAAGCTGAAAGCTTGTAAGATATTTTCTCCCTCCCTTCTTTTTCTGTAAGGTATTTAATTTATAAGGTATTTTCTCCCTCCTTTTAGCATATCTTCGGGGTGTAACGGTAGCACACTCGGCGCGTATTTGAGAAGTCCAGGTTCGAGTCCTGCCGAGGGCATTGCTTATTTTCATGTCTCCTGCTTGAAAATAACCGAATGACTTAATCTTCTAAATATAATTCATTAGTTTGTTTTGGTTTATTTAATTATGGCAAAGCACATTAGGGCTATCTGCCAAAGGGCAGGGATGCCTTCGTGAAGGACTTTCTAATGGAAAATGACTCGTATATACACGTTACACATGGGGAAAACCACAAAAACGCCCATGCAGCCAGCCCGTTTGCGGGATTTGAACCTCGGACCGAACTACCAGTGTTCAGAGACTTTACCGCTCGGCCGCTGGTGGGCCTATAATTCATTAGAATTTACCAGTTAGAAAATATTCTTAATTTAACTTAGAGAAGCCTTAGTTCCCTAAGAAAAGAATGTATAAGGTATTTTCTCCCTCCTTTTAGCATATCTTCGTGGTGTAACGGTGGCACACTTGGCGCGTATTTGAGAGGTCCAGGTTCGAGTCCTGCGGAGGGCATTGCTTATTTTCATGTCTCCTGCTTAAAAATAACCGAATTACTCTACAACCTGATTACAATTCTTTTCCAGTTTATAACCATTTACATATAATATGATTTCGCAATTAATTTTTGTGTTTCGTTCGTAACATGTGACTTTTTACTTATCTGGTTCCTTGAAAATCTGAAGACGCGTTCATTAGTTTCAGCTAATGGCCAACTGCCAAGAAATTTAGCGTTATATTTATGTATTTGTAGCTTACAGATTTGCTGTGGATTTAATACTAGCATTCTTTTCGTGAAAATTAATTTCGGCGAATTTCTCCGAGATTATGAAAACGTATCAATTAGCCCGCTGTACTCTTTTTATTTCCTTATACTAAGGAAACAAATTATTGTAATCCCGAAAAATTTCGGATATTTTATTTCAACGAAAATTTCCATTTTGACCGCTCTCGATTACATTTGAACGGTGCTTTTGCGTTACATCTGTACGTACGGACAGAATAAAGGAATCTTTTTCCCGAGACGCATTGTGAAATGGATTTAAAATGGTTTCAGAAGAGATTTTTGTGACGTCTGTACGTTCGTATATGTATCGCATAAATCAAAAACGAGTACCCTCAGAACATTGAAATTGTGCATATGGGACTGCTATAACATGTAGATGTGTACTTCCTTTTTTGGTTACAATCGGCTGCACCAAAAGTATATAAATCTTTATATATATATATATATACACTCAATCTGTTACCCGGCTCGATGAGTTAAGTGTTTTTATTCTTATATTTGGGTAAATTGTGCATTTTTTTCCTTTAAAAGTGGTTGCATTATATTGTTCTAATGTTCCGTTAAGGTTTTTATGCTTTTAGTTAATCGACATGAAATAGTTGTAGAATTATTGACAATTTAAAGGTTGTTTATATTCCACTAAGCCGATCGATGCCGCCATAAAAATTAGTAGCATAGTGATTTAAGTCAGTTTCTGCACAAACTTCAGTGTCTTTTTGCCGAGTAGGGCCAAAAGTTTTGAGCACCCAAACATCTGTCTTTCTGCCTAATTTCAATTTATTTAAACTTTAATTTTAATTGTAAAAATTTATTTTAACGTTTTTTAATTCTAATTAGTGGTTTAGGTTTTTGTCTGTATTTTAAAATTTTTAATGAGGAAGTTTTGAGTTTTTATGTATATTTTTCTTGCTGAAGCGAATCCATGTAGAATTTAAAATTCTATTATGTTTCAAACATGATTTCTCTTCTTACACTCGTAAAAATGTGTGAGGCCCCTTCTGAAGGTAGTTACGAAGTATTTTAAGATATGTTTTATGGTTTTAAATTTAAAATACCAGCTCATCAATGTAGCCGTAAAAGACTGCCACCTAATTTTCGTGCAGTCTAACTTCCTAGCTAGAAATATCACAACCAAAGTAAAATCCAAAATAAAATTGTTTCTTAATACGTCGACTTGATAGTTACGCAAACTGAAATTAACGGAAACAAAACTCCGCAAACTCATGGGTAGAATAATAACTACTCACTACAGATTCAAAGTTAATCGAGTGTAATTCACACTATCAGAAAAACGTAATTTAAACATTTGGGTTCTTCCTGACCAATAACCTGAGAACCGCAGCAAGCAAAATGTTGCCTCAAAACCAGATGTAAACAGCAGTTTCAATCAACCTAAACTGTTAAATACCCTCTGGTAATCTTTGAAACTAACTCTTCATTTGTACCTAAAATTAATTTGCACTCTGAATCTGGTGAAAACAGAAGTATAGAACAGTCAAATTAGTAAGATAATTTATTGGTTAAAGTGAAACCTTACAATATTACTCCTTTCTGAAGTGGTATGAAAGTTTACATAAGATTATTAATTCATCGGAAGATCTGAACCGTCATCCTCAATTCTCACTTTTCATTAGATAGTTTACATAACCCAGAGTGAACTGCTCTCTGGAATGGATATGCAAATTCTTTGCAATTTAGGCCTGAAGTTTGCCCCAATTATCTACCATACTAATAAATTAGTAAGAAGTTGAAAATATCTTAGCATAATTATTTGACAGATATATTACAATTAGTCAACGTAAGCTATTTTAATCAGCTTTTCTCAGCAAGGAAACTATATATTAGATTAGCTATTTCCTTCCATAATAAAATGTTTTGTTTCCAATAAACGCACATACTTTCGCTGTTCTTAAAATTTCATGTTGTATTAACTTCTATAAAACTTCTATTAAGTCTTAAAACATCCATTCTTTTTTAAAAACCAGTTTTGTCTTACATAAATATTTCACAAACACTTCTCATTTTTATAATTAAACATTTTCCTCCAAGAAAAATCCTTAGCATATTTTATGTCTTCAATGTTTCTTTGTATTTTGCACATATACCTGTCTCATAAAGTTACTTCCTTAATACAGAATTTCGAGCGTCACTACGTTGACGTGAGTGTCTTACGTTCTCAAGGAATAAAAGGTCCATTTTGTAGAATTAGGGGAAATCTGATAGCCGACCTGTTATTCAACTTCACCATCCCTGTGAAAATTTTTTTGAGTCACGCAATACCTTTCTACTAACAGCAAATAAGAAATTTCTACAACAAAGATAAACAGCAACTGAGCAACAACCGCAAAACATAAGCAACTTCTTTACTATCTCTAAATCTCAGAAATTTCACTTGCATCACTAATAACAAGAAACACTCTATTTTCTTATGCAATGCGTCTAAAACCAGGAAGATTCGATAGGTGTTAGAAGACGGTAAATGAGTAGAACAAATGGTAATAATTTTTTATGACATGCTTATAGGTCGTTATCGACCTTTTTTATTAATAAAGAGTTTATTTGCAATATGACCTTTAGTTTCTAAATAATGTAAATCCATTTCTTGTAATTTTGGAAAGTTGGGTTGTAGAATTCACTGCTGTGGTATTAGTGCTAAATCAAAAAAATATTTGAACTTATGTCACATAAAAAATTGCCGTAAAATAAGGTATTAATATTAAATCTAAAAAAATATTTGAACTTAAATCAAAAAAAAAAATAAATAAATGGCTACTATTTTGTTTCAAAACATTTATGAATGTTTATTAAATAGAATCATTAGAGTTTCAAAGATTTTTTTATTTAATACTTTGTTGAATTTTTTTTTAACTTTTAGTGAGAAACTAATTTTTTGAAGTGCTATCTGAAACTATAATCTGAAGTTTTCATACAGAATTTTTATTGAATTTTGTTTCATTTTATTTTCAGTATTCTGAGACATTCAATATATCAAAATACGAATATGCTTACAAAGGTTTCTCGTATTACGTTGCTAAGAATCCTAAAAGTTCGATTAATATGTGTTAATTTGAAATATTTTAATGCTTTTAAATAAAGATGAAATTCTAAATTCATATAATAACCACCAAGAAATATGGGAAAATGATAGTAAAGCAAATAAGTATGTTTAAATTGAAAAATATGCAGAATTTTATCTTCTTTAATATCGTTTCAGTTTTACCTATTCTTTGGGAACAAATAATTCAGCATATGAGTAAAATGCACTGTTTGCTGATTGTGTGCTTTTAAAGCAGGACTTCGTTGATAAAATATGATGAGGAAGGAAAAGTGATAAGGAATATATACTTGATATATCCTTATCAATTTATGATAATTTTCAGTAAATTTGAGAAAGCAATATGTCCAAAGTAAATTTTCAGAATATTTCTTATAATTTGAGAACTATCTATCTAATGAACATAGCTTTTTGAACCTCAGAATTTCATTTAAGTTCTAAAAATAAACAAATAATTTCACCGTTTTTTTTTTTGGTTTCTAAGATAAGAAATTTGGAAGTGGTGTTCAGTTTTTACTCCTTGTTTTACTTCGTGTGACCCATTTGAAATAATCTTAAAACCTTAAGGTAGATTTTGATTCACATTTGAATCTTTTTATAGGAATTTCATCGAATGTATTAAAATTTTGTAGACTTCCTCACGCCTTTTGTCTAAGATGAATGTTGAGGAACCTAGTGAACTGTGTAGCGACTTGTCGCTGAGTTCAAATAACTAAAGATGTAGACTCAAGAAGGGTTTAACTACCCTTTATTTCACTCAATTAGGAATAAAAATCGGTCCCTTTCTCGGGCTTACAACAAAGCCTCCACGTGGGCTTTAACTCAGAATAGGAAGTAAGAAACAAAACTATAACTAACTAAAGGAGACTTAGTTTTACCTATTCTTTACTTAGACTCAAAGACCGAAACACAAGTATATACTAAACACAAGTATCTAACTTAGCTGGGCCCTAATTTAAACTTGTCGGCGAATATCAAAAGGTACGTAATAATATGGCCGAGCGTAACAGCTACAAGAGAGACTAAAGAGGTTTTCACAAATGGCTACAGTCTCTGCTAGACGGGATTTTTCTGAGAAACGAGATTCTGGTAGCACTAGTTTAAAAGGGAGGATTCCTAGAAAAAAGAGCCCCGCTGGAAGCGAAGTGCCTAGCTACGAAAACAATGTTGCAGCTACGCGGGATTTTTTCAAACCTCACCGAAAATGTCTCGGCTGGAGCACTGTCCCGAGAGATAACCCAATCAGACGAAAGTTCTGCTTTTGAAGAATCACGTGATTCCAACCTGAGCGATAATCGATTATTGTTTGGCGTTCAAGTCTTTGTAGTAAGTGAAAATGGTAACCTAATGGTTTCCTGGAATTGCGGGTTCTTAAAATTGTCCCTTTCGACGTCAAGTCCCGCATAGCCGAAACATAATGTTATTGGGACCTTAGCCCGAAGGCAAACACGCGCTACTAAGGATTCCTAGCTCTCTCTCACGAAATAAGTTGAAACTTTTCCTTAAATACTTCTTCTAACTTATTTGCATTAAACGGATTCTCAAAACTCATTCTGGTAAGGAGTCGTAAGTGGAAACAAGAATTGATAAGAAAGGGATTTTAAAATTAAAATAACTGTTATAAAATTAAAATATACCTTACAAACTGGTAGATGCTGAATATTAAACACCCTATGTAAATAACTGTCTAGAGCAAAATTATTGATTCTAGCTGCAGTTACGAATAAAAGCCATGAAGATAAATGGGTACTTTCCCAAATATTTTAACTAAATTATCTAAATTTTCATATAAATAGAATTAAAAAATAGCTTAAAAATTATTATCATTGTTACTACGCAAATATCATATCCAGGCGAATGTTGCCACTTCACTTGCGGAAAATATTATTTGCGAGACTCGTGGGCAAGCGATCGAGTTTTCTAAAAATAAACTGTACGGTTTCAATTCGAATAATTATTTTCTTTCTTAAATTAATGAAATATCTTTATGCAATGCTAATTTAAGACGAAATAATAACATAGTGTAGCCAAATGGCTTTCAAGAGCGTGGTCACGGCAAGACAAAGTTCAGAAAATCTGTAGTGTCATTAGGAGTTTTGAAGCAGGAAGCATGAACAATGAGCAATGCCCCTCGCCGGAACTCGAACCTGGAACTCTCGAATACGCTACCGTTACACTACGAAGGCATGCAGGAAGGAGAGAGAAAACAAATCGTAAATTGTAACATTCAGAAAAAATTTAAATAGAAAAAGATTTTCAGAATGGTAGTAACTGACGAGATATATAACGACAAATAATGTTTTAAAGATGTTGGAGAGAGCAGAAAGTGAGGGATAAGTGTCAACGATAAGACAGAAGTTCTGTGGATATTTTGTCTTTTCCTTTAGGCTTATACATGACTAGTAATTAGTTCTTTTATGATGCGAATAATGAAATGTGAATGAATTTAGCATAATGAATGATTTTACGGGATGAAGTGTGAATGATTTTAGCAAAGTTTTCTGTTACAATACCAAAGTACCATACCTCCAGTATAATGTTAATTTTAAATGAGAAGAATAAAATATATAAGAAGTTAACAACGCTCAGATTCATGACATTTTGGTTATAATAGGAATTTTTTTCCCACGTACCATTTAAAATTGCTATTGCGAACTTCTTGCTTCAATTGTATGAATTTTATATGCTCTGTACTTTGAACGTTTGGGGACTGATTCTTATATTAGTAGGCCTAACGTAAATACATGCATTTTTTTTATTGTTATCTTTCGAAATTTTTTAAATATCTCGAAATCAACATTATTTTCTTCACTTATCTCAATTTCATGTTTTGAAGTAATAAAAATTGCTGCCACGTCACTTACAGAATGTTTCAAGGCTTTGTCCAGACAATATCCAGTGAAAAAGTGCACAGTTACATCACGGACCATTAAATCATTTCTTTTTTTTTTCTCTCTTGAATATTTTTACTTTTACATTTTTATTTGTTCTTTACGGAGATTTTAAGTCGACAGAGTCTTTATTGCAGAGACAGTGTTTCATTCACATTCAAATCAAGATTTGAATCATCTGTATTTTAATAAAACTCTGCTTTTCTTACATTGCATATAATAATACTAATAAATTAATATATGATTTTCTCTACAGATGGGAATCCAGATTTTAAGCCACATCCATCGCTGACACATTTCATATATTTTCTCTTCATCCCAGCTCTTATCTACAGAGATTCATATCCAAAGTATGTGATATCTAAATGAATTTTTAATATAAGATCTTATACCAAAATTTAAAAAAAAAAAACAGTGTAAATATCTAACTTTTAAAATCTAATTCTGTTTTTGAATTTAGAATTGTTAATTGTACCTCTTTATTAGGGAATAAGATTTGCTATTTATTTTTTGAACTCTTTATGCTTCTGAACCCCCCCCCTTCTAAAACTTCTTCTTTCGAAATTAAGAATTGTGTAAAAAGCGTATGCACACACTGAGTGAATTGAATAACCTAACTAGTTTGAAGTGTATTAAAAATAGTCTGAATTTAATGTTTCTTTTCAGGAAAAAAGACATCTCATGGAAGTTCGTATTTAACAATTTGTTCAAGTTCATATCCTGCATATTCATTGCATATTGTGTCTTCACGCGTTTTAATGTTGATATTTTCAAAAATATTGGAATCATTCAATTCACATTGCCGCAAGCTGCCCTCACATTCGCTGGGGCGATAGTCATTGGATCAATGATACTCTTCCTCATTTTCTATGGCATTCTACATTGTTGGCTGAATATTTTTGCCGAAGTTTTGTATTTTGGAGATAGAGAATTTTATCAGGTGAGGTTATTGTACATTAAATTTGAATTATTACAAAATGCAATAAATAGATAATGTATCAGTATGTGCTTTAGAATCGGGAAAAATAGCATTCTATTTTTCAAAATGCTTAACTGTGGGAAATAAAAAATTTTAAATGCCTTTGTCAGACTTCACCAGATTTATCTTAATGCATTGAATAACATATATATTATGTATAGCTATATATATTATATATATATTATTTCAATAATATATTATGTATATATTATTTCAATAACATATATAATATATCATATTATTTAGTCACTGTCTAGGATTTTACTTAAATTGATAATGCTAATCCAAACTTCGACTGATGTAAAGCGAATTTTTGCTACAGTCTGAAATAACCACAAAGACCTGGAAAGGTTTAAACGAACCTTTTTATTTATCATAACTTAGAACATGAACGCACTTTCTTTTGCTAACAGAATCAACCACAACTTGTGGCGATGCAATTAGTATATACAAAATCTGAAATATGTACTACTACACAATATTTGAAAAAATTGACTATTATGAAAGTAACAGTCAGTTTCAAGTTTAAAACGTAGATTAGTAATTAAATTTTAAATAATAATTATATATATATGTATATATATATGTACGTACGTATGTATGTGTATGTATACATACACACATATACGCACATGCATTTATACATATATGCATACCTACTTAAATTTCTAAATCCGGTCCCGATAACAGAAAAGAACCAAAATTCCTTTTGTAAACACTCCAAAACAAATTATTTATGCGTTATATTTTTAATTAAATTATTAAATGTATAAATACTAAATTTTAATTGCATGTTAGCAAATACTGTTAAATGATTATATCTTAAAACTCAACTCTTATTTAATGCGACTTGGTTAATCTTTTCTGAATACTTTTTTGTATATAAAATGAATGGTTTTAAAGTAAAGTTTCTGCGTTAATGATAGACGTATTTGAGATTTATGTTTATTAACGGAGCACTTTTAAAAAAATTTCTTTATTAAACACTGACAAGATTTATACTAATTTTCAAAAGTGTATCAGAATTTATTCCCAAGAAAACAATACACAAATATATAAAAATTAAACCTTAATTAAATTATAAAAGTATGCATGTTCAAAAATAAAACTAAATTTATAAAAACATTTCCAGCCACCTTTTCTCCGCTTGGCATTCGAAATCCACGAAGACTTTTCATTTGAAATGGATACCGAACAAACTCTCAGTTTGTTTCCCCGATTTTTAATACTCTCATTTATATTCAAATTTTTATTGTAATATAATTTTTAGGAATAAATATTTGAAGATATTTATATGAAAGCAGGAACTGCATGTGAACAAATTCACAAAATGTAGTAAAAAGAAATTTTATGAAATTATACTAAATCTTATAAAAGCTGTGAATTTCATAATCTCATAATTCATATTGTATGAGTTAAAAATTTTTTAAAAGTTATCAATGTAAACGACATAGATTTCAATCATACAGTAGAGCTGATTAACTCAACTTCTCCTTTCCGATATGTGTTAGTCCACCAGCGGCCGAGCGGTAAAAGTCGCTGAACACTGGTAGTTCGGTCCGAGGTTCGAAGCCCGCGAAAGGGCTGGCTGCATGGGTGTTTTCGTGGTTTTCCCCATGTGTAACGTGTATACGAGACAGTTTCCCTTAGAAAGTCCTCCACGAAGGCATTTCTCCCCTTAGGCAGATAGCCCTAGTGTGCTTTTCCATAATTACACTCATGTCCATAAATTAAGGATAGTGCAAAATCAGGCAAAGGAAGAGTTAGAAACAAAACAAATTTGACTTATTTGTAAAGCTTATTTATTAAACAAAAGGTAACGAGCAAAAAAAAAGATGCTATATGTTTGATATTATTAAAGAAATTAGCTATTTTTTCTCCCTGGAGCAAATTACGAAAAAAAACTAATTAAAAAAATCAATATTACGTGGTTGGTATGATTGTTAATACATTGTATGTCTCCCAGACGATGCAATACAGTCCGTACAACGACTAGGCATGCTGAGTATCAAATTATCGATCTGATCTTGGGGTATATTACACCACTCAAAAAGCAATGCTCTCCGAAGTTCTGGTAGACATGTAGGAGGAGGTTAACGGGCTGCAACTCGTCGGCCAAGCATGTCCCACACGTGCTCTACTGGATTCAAGTCCGGTGAGAATGCTGGCCAGTCCATACGGGTGATATCCTCCGATTGAAGGCATTCGCTTACGATGTTTGCACGGTGAGGACGGGCATTGTCATCCATAAACACAAATTGTGCGCCCATGGCGCCCCGAAACAAACGTACATGTGGTTCCAGAATAACGTCCCGATAGATTTGGCTTGTCATGGTTCAATTTGAACATGCAGGTCAGTTCTGGAACCCAGAATAATTCCACCCCAAAGGAGCACTCCTGCACCACCGTAACGGTGTCGTTCAATGATGGTAAATTCTTGGTGGTAACGGGTACCCGGAGATCTCCATATGAAAGTCCGACGAGAATCAGACTGCAAGCTAAACCTGGACTCGTCGGAAAAATCACACAAGCCCACTGTTGCGGTGTCCACAATGCATGCTCTTTACTCCAGGCTAACCGCAGGCTACAGTGAGTTGCAGTAAGTGGAACGCATCTGACAGGTCTACGAGCATATAGACCAATCTGCATTAAGCGTCTGGACACGTTCTGCCTTGAAATTGTCGTACCAGTGGCTAAAGAGAGCTGACGAGACAGGTCTGAGGCTGTGCTCCGCCTGTTTCTTTTGGCAGTAACTGCCAAATACCGGTCCTCATTCGGCGTTGTAACTCTGGGGTGACCTGTGCTGCAACGTCTTTACATTACCATCATCTTGGAATCGTTGCCAAAGCCTGGAGATGACACTGTGGGCAATTCCAAGTTCGTCTGATACTTCCAGTTGGGTACCCCCACATTCCAGACGGCCGATAATTTTACCACGTAAAAAATCATCCAAATGCGTCCTTTGTGTCATAACTATTCGGTTATTGCACTGAAATGCTTATAAAGCGCCTGCGAACAATTTTACTCCTTTGCCTGTATTCCTTATACATCACTCTCTTACACTCTCGCCATTGTGACGTACCATCGGTGTCATCTGGTTACTTCCTGAAATTTGCATACGATTCTTGAAGATGTGTGCGGTGATTTTACAGGTGATATATTTATTTTAGAGTTCGATTTCCGCGTGACTCCGAATTATCCTTAATTTATGGACATAAGTGTAAATACACCACACCACACCACCGATATGTGTTACGTATTTCCGACACACCGTCCACCGGGTTAGTCTATTTCTTACAAGATCCATGTTATTCAAGCGCTTGACATCTTGTTTGAAAGCATGTAGCAATGCTTCTCTTCCTCAAACGTCTAGACAAAAATGGGAAACCAAAATAAATTATATTATTATTAAAACCCAAAACATATTTTAAACAAGCCTCGGGAAATTGTTGATTTCGAACATCTAAATGGTTCATTATCTAAACATTAAATGTAATTTTAAAACGTCATGGTTTAATTAACTGTGTCTCCCTCTTATTCGTTCATACCAATATATTAATTATCATCAATAATTCATTACGTCTTTGCTAATGTATTAAAAGCGTATTAATAAAAGAATTTTCAGATTACAAGTTTATTCCGATAGAATTCTTTTTAAATTACGAGTATTTGTTATTTCATACAAGTAATGCTTTCTCGTGAAGATGAAACTAACGGAAGGAAGCATGAGCGTGAAAATAGTTGAAATAATATATTTGAAATATAGCCGCTTTAAATCGGATCTGATTTTGATTCACCAAGAATAACTTAAATGTCATTTCATAAGTTCGCATCGTTTATGTTGCTGTGATTTATATCACGTGTCTGACAGTAACGTTAGAATAATTCCACGATTTTTTTCCTAGCTAGGACTGCTGTCCTAGCCACGATAAAACTGGTCGGCTCGGACTGCATTTGTCGTTAGCATGGGCCTTGCGTAACGGAATGACTTGCGTAACGGAATTGCCCAGTTTTGTTGCAGTTTCTGATGAGAATGTCAGTTTCATGGCGGTATGGTATATATACCTGAGTACCTGGGTCAAAGGCCTGTCGAACCCCTGTCGAACAAAATCCCTAATTATGTGTGCAATAACACAAAAAAAAATTAAATTAAATTAAATTAAATTTTAAAAAACAATTGATCTATATAAAGAAATTTAAGTAACAAGTTACATAATGAATTTTGCCACAAATAACTTTGAAGTAAATCGTTAAATTATAATAAAAAAGTAATAAAGTTAAGCAAAATATTAATTTTAAATTATTAATAACAAGTTAATATGAGATAAGAATTTAAAGGTGTAGTGAAACAGAGTCGACTAATAGGGGAAACATCTGGTGAAAGCCTTTTGAGTCGGTGACAAATATCGTGAAAGGAGGACATACAACAATTGGAAGAATAAACAAGAAGTAGGACGAGAATCTCCCGGAAGACGGGTCCAAGAGTCTCCCACTACTTTGCCGCCAGACCTTTCGAGACTTTCGACTTACCGTGTATTTTTAATGTCCCCTTACCGCAGAAGAAACTACAGTGGAACCTTGGTTTATGAACGCCTTATTATTTGCATTACCATTAATTTCGTAATTCTTACGTATAGTTTTCTTTTATTCTTTAAATTTCTGTTAGCTATTATTCTTTTGTTAATATATGCATTTCACTTGAAATTAAGGAAAATGTATTTTGCACTTTAGGACTGGTGGAATAGCACATCATTCTCTCAGTATTATAGGAAGTGGAACACAGTTGTGTATGATTGGCTGTATGCTTATGTATATAGTGACACGCATAGGGTATGCAGAAATCATATTTTATTTCCCCTACAAATTCCAATATTTGAAATTTTAGACTACGAACAAATTTATGATTATATTTATTTATTTTTAGCTGGGCTGTAGCAGGTCTGTGTCCTTAGTATTAGTATTCATCGTGTCTGCTATAGTCCATGAATATATCATCAGTTTGTCTCTTGGATTCTTTTATCCAGCATTACTAGTCGTATATTCGACTCTGGGAGGTAAGTTTAAACTCTAGGTTATTAATAATGCAATGGTGTTAATTTTTATGTGTGTGAAAATATATTCATTTTCTGCATTTTTTATGCGGAGTATACATATATGCAAGTCGAGAGCATTGCCTCTCAAAAATTAGGAACAGGATGCAAATTCTCTTAGGTGGCCGCAGGGCAAGAAACACGGGTTCCTGGGCCCGGAGCCCTATCCTATACCAACATGATATGTGATAAACGTAGCATGAAAAAATAACGTGAAAGGAAAATAGCATTTCAGGGAGCAATTCCTCGTAGGATAGCAAATTGTATGAAATGAAGGCTATACGAAATGAAGCATGTCCGTCGATGTCGAGCGTCTCCAAGAATTTTATGGGAGTGGAGCTTACATTTATAGCGTCGTTAGGGACACTCAAATATTAACCCCTTCGCGCCGACTGTCACGTCTACGTGCCAGCAACGAACACACTCACCTCCCGGCCGACACGCAGGCGTGCCAGAGCATTTTCCCGTTTACTACCGACTGTCACGTATTTGTGCCAGTGTCCTAGAACGTTTTAGAAACTATAATTTCTGCCACAAGATGGCACTGTATGTCCATATGGTTTCAGATACATGTACATTAGACCTTCTACTCGAAATGAGAGAAGCATGACTCACATACACGTGTTTTTGATTATATAAACAAACGGGGAACTAAATGTTTCCGAATGGCGTTGATTTATGATGTCTCTTTAAAATCGCACTTTATTCGCACGTGGTAGTTGTTTATTGTAAGTAGAAGTTTTATATGCGCTAAAGCGTTAGTATTTCGGTTTGCAGTTCAGTTTTTAGAAATAATTAGATCTGTGTTAGACGTGAATTCTTTTTGTTTTTACCGTTGCAATGTCGAAGCGTCGAAAATGTTTAACAGAGCATGAAATAGCAGAAGAAATGGAGCAAAATACTTCAGATATTGATTCTGAAATTCTGATATTGATTTTGAAAGATTCAACTGAAAGACATTTTCCAACAAACTTTGTTTCAGAAGAGACTGATAAGAAAATGAGACGACGATGCTTCGCTTGTTCACATTCCCAGAAAAATCCTCCAAAACGGCAAATGAGTTATTACGAGTGCAAGGAATGTTACGTAGAACTGTGTGTAGATCCCTGTTTTCAAATTTTTCATACGAAAAGAGAATTTTAAGTAATATATTTAGTTTTCAGATGTATAATGTTAAAAGTCATAAAATAGTGAGTAATTAAAATAAAATGTGTAAAATATGCATTTAAACAAGAAATAAGGTAATTAAAGTATATATATATATATAATATCTATCTATAAAGCATAAGCCGTTTAAATACTCTATAGAGCATTATTAACAAATGCGTTGATACTTCGGAAATTTCATGGATTTAGGCTTAGTAGCATAAAAGGCCCCGGCCCTGGAGAGACGCTCGCGTAAGACACTGCCGGCCTCCGCGATAAGCGCGCGTTTTCGCTATCCGGCTCGAAGGGGTTTTAAATGATCAATCTTAAAGTGATCTCCTTCTAAAAATATGTAACCTATGTGTGGATTGTAAGAAATTATCATATTTTATGGTAGTTGTTTAATATATCCAGCTGGTAAGTAAAAACTCCGTAGTTCGATTCCATTGACAGCGTAGTCTGTATTTTGCACTTTCCTTTCCGAAGACCTGACAATTTATACAAGATGAAAGTAACTCATTTGCCTAAGATTTTAAGATGCTAAAATCAATTTGTACAGAAATATCAGAGCTAATTTTGGGTTAAATTAGCTCTGGCAGCTAGATTATTGTATTATATAAAGAATATGTTGAAATGTTATTTGAAGTCTTGAGATGCGACAGTCGTTTAGGAAGACGCGGATTTCTTTTTGCAGATCATTCTGTCATTTCTTACTTTGGATAAAAATTGTAAATAAGTAACACTTATCTAGAATCCCGTCTGAAGTTATTCTAGGAATAGAGTATCTTCCGATGATTAGTAACAAATAATGATTAATACCCATGATGGTTGACACCAATACTTCTGATAAATAGTACCAGGCCAGATGCAATCGCCGAACCGCCACATCGACTACCAAATGCTTGCCACAGTAAAAGAAAATTCAGCATCTGCCAGTACTGTGGGATGCAAAACTAAATACTAAAAAACTCTATCGCATATGGCATCATAAATCTACGTTCTTTCGAGTGCTTAGACTGGGAAGGCAAGATTAAAGTGGGGTAGTAAGCATGAACATAGCTACAACAGTTCAGTAGATTTTTTCAAAAGTTTGGAACAGGAGTTCGGAAAGATGAATAGCTGATTGATTGAAATACGAACAATCTGGAAATTTTTGCGGAAGAGAGAAAAATGTGCGTCTATTCAGTGAGAAATTCGGTTCTCTGAAACAGACGAATATATTGATAGCACTTTACGGATTTGTAAAGAACGAAGAATAAATAACCAGTGTGATAACATTGTTGAATACCACACTTTTAGTAGGAGCAATGGGGGTAATAAAGTTACTTTTCTTGTTTCGGAAGAATAAAAATTCGCACCAAGATTTTACGTGTTCACCAACAGATATGATGATGGTGGAGAGCCACCAGGATCTCTCTTCGCGAGACTGTCCACTTCAGCAGAAAGTACAGATTTTCCTTTCAATGAATAGGCAAATAGCCTTCTAGTGCTTTGCCATAACAAATAAACCAAACCAATCCTTTCAATGGAGAAAAATAGAACAAAATGTGATGAGGGATTAAAAAAATACTGGTCGCACGCTGTTGTTGATAAGGTCAATCATGTGAAAGAATTTCAAATGACTTTAGAAGAGCTGTGCCTGAATTTAAAACCATTTACTTACCCATGCTGCAAAATATCCTTTTAAGGGAAATAGAGTTGTTACTCTCTAAAATGTCGAAACGAATCTTGTGTTACAATCAGGAAAGGATTCATTCTACATTAAAAGCTGTCTGTTCTTGTTTCTTCTACAGCATACATAATATTTTTTCCTTTAATTTCATATTTACATTTTTAAGCAAGTAACTCAATTCACTGTTGTGCAGTCTAGCTTCAAATAATTCATAATAGTTTGCTTATATAGAATTTATAGCTACTTGCCTAACTTTCGGAAGGCAACGCATATTCTTCTTCCCCTCTCCAAAACTTATATAAGGACTCGCTTTGATCTTCTGAAAAACAAACTGAGATGCAGTTTGACAACTAAAACGATAAAGAATGTGAGAGTTGTATTGGAAGCGATTTTTCTCCTTCCTTACCATGTGCCTTCATGATGTAACTGGAAGCATATCCAGCCAGCATCAGGAGGTATGAAATTCAAATCCGGAGAGGGCATTAATTTTCCTTGCTTCCCGCATCGATAAATATTTTATCGCTTTACAAGTGGCACCTGAATTAAAATGTAGTGTAAATAATTCGTCACATTTCCCAAATGGACCTCCACCTACCCAATCGTTCTTTAGGTGAGCGGGGAGAATGTAAGAGATTTTTTTTATCTTCTTCATTGCGTGCCTTCGTGGTGTAATTGGAAGCACACCCAGCTGGCAATCGGAAAATCTGAAGTTTGTCCGAAATAAACCTAATGATGCTCTTTGAAAGTTGCTTACATAAAGGTGAGTTTTTAGAGGTGCCTTCATAGAGGACTTTCTGAAGGAAAATAAAGGAGTTAAGGTTTGTTATGCTTATTTTGTTTTATTGGTTGATGTTATCAAGCCATGCGCTTAATATAATGTCCATTATTTATCCATTAAATCATACTTTTGTACTCCAGTTTGCATCTTTTATTTCTAATAATTGCAACAGAACTTTGTGTACCAGTTTCAGACATTTTAAGCTGTAGATGTGATTATTTATCTATTCGCGTGCATAGTATGTCTTTTCATACTAAAGTAATTTTCTTTATAATGTTATAATTTACCTTTTCGACATATTTATCATAATTTTCATGATAAGATAGCTAATTTCCAAAATTCGCTTCAAAGTACGCTGTATTAGGTCCCATATGAAACAGCATAATTACTTTATGGCAAACAAACACAACTTCCAACATTCTACCTTTCTGCATCCAAAAGTTTATTTCGCTTGGCATCTTGTATTATGATCAAAATTATACTCATATTAAGTTTACCTGCTTTTAATTTCGGATGACCAACATTCTCGGTATTCAAATTTGTTTACAAATCTGAAATAATTTCTCTCTCTCTCTCTCCCTTTTTTCAGTATTTTTCGTATTTTTAACAAAGAAAAGAACAGCACAGTTGTGGAATACTTTTATGTGGACTATGTTGTTTTTCGGATGGGGTTTGCTGGTCTCTTTGTATACAGCGGAATGGTATGCTCGAGCCAATTGCCCAAGCACAGTAGTAAGTTTTATGATTTTAACTTACTAGATATTTTTTAATGATTTTGGACAGAATACACATGTGCAAAAAGAAGTATGCTTACATGGAAATCAATTTAATATAACTAGATTTTTAAAAATTGCTGTGAATAAATTAAATTATCTCTTATCTATTCTCACCTCAATGATAAATTATAACTGATGCAATCTAATGACAGCATAACATTTACACTTAAATGTATTACTCCATTATTAAATATCCAAGCGAATTTTCTGAACTAAATCCCATGCAGGCGAAATTCAACCTCAAATTATTGTTAAATTTTGGTCATCTGTAAATTTTAAATTGGCATACTTCTTTATCATGTACTAATTGCATAAGTTAAAAAATAATATATTGCAATTGTATTTTCATATCGAGAAAGTTCTCAGTTATGTAGAGTGGCAACCATTTAGGTAAAACAGCTATTTTCTTTACAGAGCAATCACTCTTTTCAGGAGAAGTGCTGTTTAGAATCAACATAATGATAAATTAGCAAAAGGAACAAAGATAGTTCCTCCCGGGTTGGGGTTTTTTTTGGCAGTTATAAAAGCTGGCAGCATTAGCTAACGACACTAATTTTAATTTATGCCAGCTGTCATAGCCTCGGGCCTCAGTTCGAATCCCAAAAACGGTTTGGATGTTTGTAAATATATAACGTCTTTTCGACATGGAGGCACTTAGAATACTGTTGAACCGAAAGTCCTTCAGATCCGTCCCTCAAGGAATTTTCTTTCGAAATTGGGACAAAGAATGGCAAATTTGCATTGTCATCTATAACATAATCATGGCCAACGATAGAACTTTTATTAGAGCCTAAGACCCTAATAAAATTCGTGGACTTTATCTGATGTTACAAACACACCTTTAAAATTATTTAGTTAGCACCCATTTATAAACACGCCTCCATGTAACTCTTATATTATATACCCGTATTTTAAAATTCCTTTCACGCCTCTGTTTCCGGAAAAAAAGTGTTCTATGCGACTTTGATAAATCTAGCTCAAGGGGAGATAGTTACGTAACTATCACCGGGGACATAGCTATCAAGAAGTTAGTTAACTATCGGAAACCTAGTGAAAAACTGAGAGTTTAACATTTATATCATACATCTGATGTTATATATATGTTAATACATGTTAATTGAATTTTTAATGAAAAAAGAAACTATATTAAAACTGTATAAAATGTGTATATTTCATGTTAAAATATTGAAATTAGACTAAATGTGTGTGTCCATTGGTAACGAAAGTTTTCCGCCAAAATACGTTCTTAATAAAGTTAGGGGGAAAAAACATAAAAACAATTCCTTTAGTGCGGGTAGTAATCACGATTCCAAATCTATGATTTGCTCCCAATGTTTTGGTAGTTTTACAAAGCCTTCGGCCTAGAAACTTCGTAGCCGCGAGTCCAAAAACAGATCAACCTCATTTCGGACATCCTGTGCAGAATGGAAAATAGCACCAACAGATGTAAAAAAAAAAAAAAAAAAAAAAAAAAAAAGTAGAAGTCCGAAGAAACGATGTCGGAGCTATATGGTAGGTGTGACAAAAGCTCCAATTCGACTCCGTACAGAGTCCAGCCGGTGAATGCAGACCCATGTGGCTTGATGGAACATCACCTTTTTGCGCCGGAATTTAATGCGAGGTTTTTCCTAGACAGCAGCGTTAACACGGACTAGCAATTCGCTGCACACCTTACTATCGAGGGTTTTACTTTTTTCCCAGATAATCTTTATAGATAATACCATGGTAATCCCACCAAATACAAGGCATGATCTTTTTGTTATCAAATTGCGCTTTGCGCCGCTGCCGATGGGCTCAATGGGCGCAGACCAACCCCCTTTTCGGCCTGTGATGTAATTCAATTTTTAACACAAGTGACGATCCGGTTAAGAATTTTGCCCTTGCGTTGATATTCGAGCATATTAGAGCAGACCCGAACACGTCTATCCTTATCTACTTGAGTCAGCTCATGCGACACCAGTAGCTTCTTGCCCTAGCATTGAAGTTGCTTCACCCAACGATTGAGCTTGTACGCAGAACCGTTCCTAGGTCATTGGCTGCCCGCGTACTTTCCTGAGATTGCCCCCCCCCAATTTAAAAAGTGCTCAATGATTAATCAAATTTTTATTTCAAGCTCACTAAGTACTTACATATGACAAACTGCATAAAAAGTACTTACATGTGGCAAGTACTTACGATGAATTTGAAAATTTGGGCATGGTTTCACTAGTGTCCGGCCGCCAGCGTTCTTTAACACGCTGCAATCCCGCTAGGAACGGCCCTGCTTGCACATCAAGTTTACGCGATGCATAGCGCGAATGGCCATAACACTAACGTCTAACTCCTTAGCAAGTTCCCGAGTGGTTACATCAAAGAATGGTTGCATACAGTCCTTCTTCCAGAAGTTCTCGCAGGCGGGCCTCGTCAACATCAGTAGGCCGGCTAGAGCGCTCTGCTTCTTGAATGTATAGTTCTTGTTTTTGAACTTTCGGTACCAAACCTTCGCAGTGTCCTATGATAAAACATTAGCACCTAAAGCTATACACATGATTCGGTGACATCCTGTAGCTGACTGTTTGCAACAGAAATGGAAGTAAATGATGGTTCTAATCTGGTAGCATAACAGATTAATTTCAGACTCCTTGTACTTAATGATAACGATACTTTTTTCACAATAGTATTCTAAAGCGCGTCTTTTTTTTTTTAATCCCAATGTCAAAAATTCGTTTGACAAAATACGATTAAACACGCTAACGCGAACTGCAGTGGCGGGAAAACTTTCATTAAAACACTAAATTTCTTGATTTAATAAGTATTTCATTTACCTTTTCAGGAGGATCCCATTCTTGATTTTTTTATGCCCAGGTCTTGGAATCAAAAGTGTGTAATCTTAAAGTATTCTTAACATTGAAGAACTAACATTTCATTCTCTCAAACTTGTTTTTAAATCAATACTGTAAAATTATCATTATCATGTTAATGTTTTCACAATAAATTATTGTATCTAAATATTGTTGTTTCTTCCTTCTCTCTGATTAATTACAAGATAGCTTTGCTAATCTTGAATTCCAGACATGTTTGGAAAAATTACAGTTGATTTTATGCAATCAAAATGAATGATATCATTTAAAATTAGTTACTAAATCCTTAGAAATAATACAGAGAAAAATCCTAGATAATGTTTTAATATTGTGTATCGATAAATCAACAGAATCATTTGCAATTTTTTGTGTACTGCTTAAATATTTATACAGCTTATAATAAATATTCTTCTTGGTACATATAATTTCACTCCTTTTTGATGGAGCTCATTTCTCAGTATTTTCCAAAATTTTAACCTATATTTTGGAGTAAAATCATTAAATTATTTGTGCTTTACTTCCTAGTTACTTAAGATATATTTATATAAAAGCAAAATGTTGTTATTGTTGATTTGCATTTAGCTGCATTTTTTATAATTTGATACTTTATTCATTCTAGTAACTGATGCTGGAATAGAATATATGATTTGATGATTTCTTCATTGTACATTATCAGTACTGCATACATAATTTGTAATCAACATGGCACATAAAACATATATTGTTTCCACAGCATAAATTTTGCAGTATAAAGCATATTCCTATAAGGTGGTTTTCAGCAATTCACTAAATTCTGACTGCACTTTTCAAAACTTAAATAATTTCTTTTTTTTTTTCGGGGGGGGGGCTGTTTAATTACTTCAAATCTACAAAAAGGAATACAAATACATTTTTTTTTCCATAAAATGTTGTAGATGCATGGGTAAACACTGACTTAAGACTAATATGTTACTAGACATAATTAATGAACAAAATAAATGCAAATTAATGAAATTCATTCATGAAAAAATAAGATTCTTGTTCCGAGAATCTATCATCTTCATCAATCTATCATCTTGAAAAATTGCATAGTGAAATTCTGAAAATTACAAAATATCCCTTGTGCTGGCAAATATTGTTGTTAAGACACAATAACACGCCGAATAAATACTGATTCAGAAGTCAAACAACAAAAATCAGCGTTAATTCACAAAATTTTCACAGGACTAGTTTTCGATGGTTTTACCGAACCATCATCTTCAGCTGCAAAACCGCAAATGAACAAGATAGGAAATAATGTTTAGATAAGATAAGAAAGCCTGGACAAGAATAAGCAAGTGGCGCCATCTGTTGGCGAAACCAGAACTAAAACATAATTTCTCTAAAAGCCGAAGGCAAATTTGGATTGGAATTAGGATCGTTAACTAGAACAGAAAGATTTTTATGAATGTGAAATGCCTCTAGAAAATCCAGTTCTCCAATGGAAGATGTTTTTTGAATAATTTTGGCAGCAGAAAAATTGAAAGTGTGATTTTCGGACCAACAATGTTGAGCAACAGAAGACTTCTGTGTTTCCTTTTTTCTAACATATGACTCATGTTCCTTGACGCGAAATTTTAAGGCTCTCTTAGTTTGGCCAATGTAAATTAAACCACACTGGCAAGGAATCCTATAAAGACCCCAGGAATTCATTCATATCCGGAATGGGGTCCTTGAGTATGGAACTCGGAATTTTATTGATGGGAGAATAAACCGACCGAAAGTTAAATTTCTGCAAAATATGTGCAACTTTATAGCTAATTGATGGAAAGAAGGGAATGACAACAGAATTTTTATAATGGCTCCTAAAACAAGAGTGTGCCGCTTTTAGTGTGTTGAGATGAGAATTTTTAACTGCTTGATTAATAATGTTGGGTGAAAAGCCCCTGTCAATAGCTATTGCTTTTAAATAATTTAGTTCTTCATCAAGGGCTAGTTTGGAGGAGCAAACTTGAAGAGCACGGAAAACATAGGAATAAAATGAAGCTAACTTTTGTTTAGTCGGATGACATGATTTAAAGTGTGGTGGAAGGCAAAACCGATGAAGGTTTACGGTAAACTGTAGTACTGAAGTTGGATGTGTTTACGTGTGACCAGAATGTCGAGAAACACGGAAGAGAATTGCAAGTCTCAAGTTCAAAAGTGAACTGAATAGCAGGATCAATAGAATTCATTGTTGAAAGAACTTTATTTAAATCATCTTTATTACCTTCAAACAGGGTAAAAGTATCGTCTACGTAGCGGAACCATGCCGGGAAGTTTAAAGTTTCAAACAATTTTGATTCATAATAATGCATGTAGATATCAGCCAGGATGGGACTGAGGGGGCTTCCCATGGCTAATCCCTCAGTTTGCTTGTAATATTTATTTTGGAAAACAAAATGTGTTTGTTTCAAACAGAGTTGAGTGAGAGAAATTAGCTCATCAATTTCGATGCAAGAGAAATGAAATTCGCGAAGTCTGGTTTCTAGACATCTTAATGCACCCTCCACTGGGAACATTGGTGAATAATGATTTTACATCAAAAGAAACCATGAGTATAATTACTAGGAGAAATGTTTTTAACCTTTTTACAAACTCTATTGAATTTTTTTATGGTGTAAATGTTATTGTCTAATAGAGTGGAAAATCTAGAAACTAAATATTTAGCTAATGGATACGAGGCAAGTACCTAATTTGATACAATAGGGCGGAAAGGAATACCACTTTTATGAATTTTGGGAAGAGCATATAATCTGGCACAATTCGCAACAGATGGGATAAGCGAATGTTTTAAGTTGCTTGAAATGATTTGCGAAATTTGATCGCAGTTTTTATTTGGATAAGTTCGAAGGTGAAGGATCTTTAGGGATCGGATTATATGGTCCTTCGTTTAAGAGTTTAGTGACACCATCGATGTAAGTGTTCTTATCCATGACGACTATCTGGCCACCTTTGTCGGCCTCTTTGAAATGACAATATCCGGGTTAGAATGAATCTCGCGCATTGTAGCTCTTTCTCTCGCAGTTAGATTTGGTTTCAAAGGTTTTTATTGAATTTCACATTATGAGCGATAAGATGCCTAATCATTTCTTTCTGTGAATCTGAAACTTTACTGAACTTGAAAGCTTTTCGATAGGAGCCAAATCTTTGGAATCGAGGGTTTACAGGTTTGTGAGAAGTTAAAATTATATTTTAGAATTCTCTCTTGTTCTTCTGAAAGACTAACATTAGAAATATTAACTATTGGCTTGATGTTTACAATGGGAAGATTTTTTGAACTACTTGAACTGGAAGACTGTAAAAGAAGTTTTTCAAATTTAACTGCAAGGGTGTTTTTATGACGGTTAACTGCATTCTCGTTCTAGACCAAGACTTTGTTCAAGGGCAGTGAATTTTGGATATGTTTTTTAGCGAGTTCCAGATGAAGCTTATAGAGTTCATGTTCAATTTTGGACAATTGTGACGTGTATCCCTTATCACGGACCGAAGTAAGGCAAGTTTGCAGTTTAACAGAATTCTTGAAACGCGACTGGAAGGTTTTTGATTAGATTTGATTTGAATGAAATTGGGGATCAATTTTTTACATTTACACTTAAGTAAAAAGTCAAGATGATTCAGGAATTTTTGCCGTTTCAGGCGTAATTTAGTGAAACGATTAACGGATGAAGGCATGATAAACAATGCAGAAAATCAAACTAAATTAACTGAGCAATAATAAAGTACACACAAAATAGCAGAAAAATCCCTCACTGAAATGAATAGAAAACAAAATGTAAGCAAAATGCATGAAATCAGACAAGCAAAGCACAATATCCAAATGTACAAAACATAAACATAACTTGAAAATTGCAAAAATGTACTCACCGAAACTCCTACAATCACAAAATGGCGGCCACACCACGTGCAAAAAAGAAAGCAAATGAAGCCTGTTTGGGGCTTCTATAATTAAGACGCAATAACACGCCGAATATACTGATTCAGAAGTCAAACAACAAAAAATCAGCGTTAATTCACAAAATTTTCACAGGACTAGTTTCGATGGTTTTACCAAACCATCATCTTCAGCTGCAAAAACCGCAAATGAACAAGATAGGAAATAATGTTTAGATAAGATAAGAAAGCCTGGACAGAATAAGCAAGTGGCGCCATCTGTTGGCGAAACCAGAACTAAAAACATAATTTCTAAAAGCCGAAGGCAAATTTGAATTGGAATTAGGATCGTTAACTAGAACAGAAAGTTTTTATGAATGTGAAATGCCTCTAGAAAATCCAGTTCTCCAAGGGAAGATGTTTTTTGAATAATTTTGGCAGCAGAAAAATTGAAAGTGTGATTTTCGGACCAACAATGTTGAGCAACAGAAGACTTCTGTGTTTCCTTTTTTCTAACATATGCCTCATGTTCTTTGACGCGAAGTTTTAAGGCTCTCTTAGTTTGGCCAATGTAAAATTAAACCGCACTGGCAAGGAATCCTATAAAGACCCCAGGAATTCATATCCGGAATGGGGCCTTGAGTATAGAAGTTGGAATTTTATTGATGGGAGAGTAAACAACCCGAAAGGTAAATTTCTGCAAAATATGCAAAATCTAAACATTATTTCCTATCTTGTTCATTTGCGGTTTTGCAGCTGAAGATGATGGTTCGGTAAAACCATCGAAACTAGTCCTGTGAAAATTTTGTGAATTAACGCTGATTTCTGTTGTTTGACTTCTGAATCAAATATTGTTGTTGTTTACATTTTTTATTTATAATAGAAACTTGCTTATCTGCTATCTGGAAAGCTCAGACCGAAGTTTAACTTGATATATCATAGGTAGATATGTGCCAAATATATTGTTTACTACACCATTTATAACAGAATGATTCTTTTTAATTTATCCTCCATATATTTTCAAAAATATTGAGAATTCAAAGTTGTCAATATCCACTAGTGGCTGGGCAGAAAAGTCACTGAACACTGGTATTTCAAACTGGATTCATCAAGTGGGCTAGCTGCATAAGTGCTTTCATGGTCTTCCCCACATGTAACATAAATATGAGCCTTAGAAAGTCTTCCAAGAACGTATACCACCCAGAGGCAGCTAGCCCTTGAGTGCTTTGCCATAACCAAATAAAAGTCACCAAATCTTGCTTGTTAGTATCAATTAACTGTTAATGTCTTTTTGACAAGTTGTGCAAGATCTGGGAAATTTTATGCAGATTATAATGTCTTATACATTTTCCATTCGACTTAAAATTACAGTGAGGAAAATTTGAAATAAAATAGAACAATAAATAATATAACAATGCTATTATTGGCATTGTATTTCAGTTAGCAATATTGTGAAATGTAACTGACAATTATTCATTAGTTCAATGGAGTTTTCATAAACTGTCATAAAGTATAATTACTACGCTGTCAAGAAATTTAAAAGCAAACTGTGTTCAAATACATTTGCATGAGAGTCTAGCCCTTATAATCCATATGGTAGCTCTCATTTCATCCTAATTTTTTTAATACTACAATTACGCATTATTGATCTAAGAAAAAAGAATTTTTATTAACTACTTACTGCTTTCACATCAAAAGAATTTAATTCAGCATGCACTGAAATGGCTCCTATTTATATATGGGAAAACTTACTTTACCACTGACTAGATTCACTTGGCACACTTTTTCATTATTTGAAAGAAAAAAATGCTAATGTAAATTTAAAATTAGGCAAAAAAAAAGTTGGCTTATTAAAAAAAAAAAAAAAATCATTCAATTTCAAAAAATGACTGATGTAGGTCTCCTCCTCCTTTATGAGCAATATAATTTTTGCATTGACAATGAAGGTGATCATAAAAATATCTAATTCATAGAGAAATATGCAAATGTAAAATTTTAAATTGGGCCAAAAAATAACCTTAGGATAGCACATCTTAAAAAAAAAAAAAAAAATTGTAAATTTTTAGTGCAGTCTGACATAGGTTCTCCTCCTTTTTACATTTGATAAAATACATACAATATTTTCTGCGTATAAAGTTGCAAAAAAGTTATTTACACCAAACATTTGTTAGATATGAGGCTATATTTACTGTAGTCATAAACACTTTTGTGTTGGATTAAAACAGAGTATAACTAAAATGAAGAGATTTTACACAGTTTTAACAAAACAAATTTTATTTATAATCATATGAATAACATTTCTCTAAAATTTTATACAAATAATTGTGCTTGATTTGATCAACATAATTTCAAAATGTGATAATTAGATAAACTAGGCTACCCATAAAAAATTCTGCTTGGACTAGTTTTTAGTTTCAGTTTACTACCCTACTTTACACAATTAAATGCAGATGTTCATCAATTTTTGCAAACGTAGGAGTAAATATTACATTTAAAGTAATGAGAAAATAACAGATTCTTTATATACCTTGAAATACATAAAGAAATTATCAGAGGCAAAAAACAAAAACTTTTAATTAAAACACTATTGAAAATACTTTTTAAATATAACTAAAATAAATTCTACTTATTTTTTTAATGCATTCTAAAAGAATACTTGATTGATTGAAGAATACCAGCTCTCTGACTTGAACTACCATTTAAAATAGTTGACATTTATTTCAATATTTAAGCTCAAGTTAGTGATAAATGAATAAATATTATTCTAAATTATAAAATAAATCAAGGCGACACACTTTGTAAAAATACAAAACCTCAGAAACAGTTCTGAAAAAGCATCGCCATTAAGTTTTAAAATAAGGCACATACTATTTTTAGCAAATATAAATTAAATGAGATAATGTGGAAATGGCAGTTTCACAAAATAGTAAATATTCAAATTAATTTTTAAAGAACTGATTAAAATTTGTTCCTCAAAAGAAATAAATTCATTAGTTGCCTATAAATGATATATGATATACACGATAGCCATGATTACGTATATTTAATTTTTAGTTAATTTTACTTGCTGTATTAAATATTAAATTTGTTACAATTTTTAAGGCTTAACAACTTGGTTTCCCTCTTTCATCAATAATATCTTAATCACAGTTTTTTTTTAAATCATAGATGCTTCATCTAATCTATTTAAACAACATTTTGCCCTTTTTTAACAATGAATAATTATTGCCCAAATGCAAATTAAAAGTTGTTTTTTTCACAGATTAAACTGTAGTAAACTTAAGGAAATGATTTAAAGCTCTTACAATAAACCATCATGCAAAGAGTTAGTTGACATATTAATTACACAAACTATTTTACAATATATGTATGCAATTTAAAATAGTTTCTCCTTATAATAATTGTCTTGACTACTTAACACATAAAATTTCAAATTTGTGTTATAAATTTTTTAACAAAAAAGCATTACACAAAGCACTTTCATTCATATATTAACAAGTAAATTAATCCATTCGATAGTACAATTTACAGTTTATATTAATTTTTTCAAAACATATAACAACTGACATATGACACACATATTATTAAACAATTTAGGTTTTTGATCATATATTTACAATATACCAATTTTGAACATCATTCCTAAGTAGAACTACATAAAAATAGTTTCATGAATTTTCATTTTGATTGAAAGGCTTTTATTTCCCTATGCTTTTCAAATCTGTAAATAAGATAATACAAATCATAGGAAAATATACATAATATCATAAAAATTCTCTTAAATTAAAGTCCACCCCCACCAGATGTTGTATCTCCCAAAACATAGAACTTATAATACTGATTCATTTGCTCTAAAAATATGAAAGTAAGGACTGTGTGAGGGCCAAGTCTAGCATAATATGGAGTGAATCCTTTCCACAAGCTGAAAAATCCTTCATTCTTTATAACCTTTATTAGAACGTCCTAATAATAGAAAAAAAATCCTGAGAAAATATATAACAATGGCAAATTGGTCAACTAAAATTACACCATTGGTATTCTTAAATCCTACAGATATGAAAAAATAATTATAGCATTAAAATACGATTCACACTGGCTGCAAAAAATATAAATTCTACACACAACATTTTAATGAAAAATTACACACTTTTATTATAATTTTAACATTTTGTCACACAAAATTACATTAACTTAGATAATTGAGAAAAGTATCTAAAATTTTTCCTTAATTTGAGAAAATAAGTGCTATGCTTAATAAATGGCAATACTTACTGAATCAGTTTTAAAATTACAAAATCACGATTTCATGAAATTATGAAATTAAATGTCAAATATATGGAAAGTAAAGCACAGTCTATGTAGGAATAACACATTATTTAAAACTAAATTTTTTCAAAACTCTTCATACATTACAAAGGTGATTCCTTGGTTTTAATTAATCTGAAGCATTAGTTGTTTCTTTATGTCGATACAAGAATGAATTTAAAAAAAGTTTGCTTAAATGATACAGTTCAGATTAATAAATTTGATAAAAATATTTTTGACTTTTTATAAAGCACAACACATTTTTCACTCATTATTGTATGTAAATTTTCCTTGCTTAAGTGCTATAAAAATATATGCTGTAACTAGTGTGATAAATTGGATTTTTTAAATATTTTTCTATTTGGAAACATACAGAATCCCAGCGCACCACGTATGTGCAACACGGGGTTTACAAAAGTAAGTTAACTAAAACATTAAAAGTTACATGCATAAATAAAATGAGCAAAAGCAGAGATCAGCAGTCTGGACTTCACGAAAACAAATAAGTTCACTGGCCAAGTCACTCCAAACATTTTCAAACCGTTCAAGTTACACATTTAACATGAACAAAATATACATAGAAAACAAAAAACATATTTTACAGGTACAATGTGATAATTTTTGGCCACTTATAAATTTCTGAAAATTTACAGATTTTATTTTTTAAAATTATGATTACTCATAAATATACTTCTATTTAATGGGAACAGTATTGGTTAAATAAGTTTTATTTGTGAGTAAAATTAACAATTTCATATTCTTAAAATTGACTGAAAATTTGCTTTCTGATTTATGAGGTAACAAATGATATCTATACAGCATGCAATATATTTTATACCAAAATAGATTCAAATTGTAAATAAAATAATGAAATTGGAAGTATAATATTCAATTTGGCAATACTACAGATTTCCTGTTTAGAGGGAAAGGCTAAACTAAATTTTTTCAAAACTCTTCATACATTACAAAGGTGATTCCTTGGTTTTAATTAATCTGAAGCATTAGTTCTTCCACTATTATGGCTTCCACTATTATGAACATTGACACACAGCCAGTACAATTCCAAACTGCATAGAATCATGTATTGTCCTGTTCATAAACTGTTCTTGGAACTTCCATATTATCCCACCAATCATGAAAGCTGGATACTGTCAAACCATGAAAGTTTGCTGAAATCCCACAAAGTTGCACCATTCATTTCAGGGAAATTCTGAACAAATTGATGCCTCTTTATTTAACATATTGTTGCGAATTTTATATTTTAATTGCTAATTTTAGTAGAATTATAATTAAAATTGTTGTATTCCATGTGCAATGCAGTGTGAGACAAATTTTAAGAAAAAGCTATGCTGGAAAAATAAAAATGCAGGAGCATGTGCATTTAACATTGAGTAAATGAATAACTCTGTAATTTGTATTAAAATTGAATAAATGTAATTGACTACTTTGTTAATTGTAACCATAATTCCACTCTTTTTGCTTTTCAGAAATCTCGAGAAACAGAAATTAATAGAAATATCTTGTGACCAGTTTAAATCTATAAAAAGCCAGAGAGAGAGAGCATATCAGCTCAGTTGTTTAGTTACTGTCACTGCGAGTTGTAGTTCCGCGTGAACTGAGATAAATCAGAATTGGCTTTCTCTTTAGATAATGCTTTGCACTGCATTGTATTTTAATGTTTTTTTTTTTTTTTTTTTTTTTTTTTTTTTTTTTTAGTATTCTGAACTATAGCTACTGATTATATTGTGTGATATTGTGAACACTTGTACGAATATCTCTGAGGAAAATTCAAGCGTTCTGATATATTTCTTGTGATAAGAATGAGTTTTATTAACCTATTATCAGAATTGTGCATCCAATCTATTACAAACCTGTACACATCCAACAATATAATGAAAGTTGTGCCAATCGTTTCAGTTCTTAACAAACTGATGCTTCTTTATTTAATAAATAATCAGTATTCGACCTGCTTGGATTTTTTTTTTTTTTTTAAATTTATAAAAAGGCTTTTACTGCTTTCTACTATTTTGTAAAGCCCTCGAGTTTACGAGAAGTTTTGTTAAGAACGCTATAAGTACAAACTTCTTGCAGGTAGTGGTACCAATCTATTAACTACTTTGTTGGCCATATTCAGCTGACTACATCATGTTCCCCATATATTCTTTTGATGGTAGAATCCCATAACTTTAAAAATAATTCACTGTTTCCATATTCTACAAAAAAGTTTAACATTAATCTTTTGTGCACCGTGTGAAAAAAACTTGAGCAAATCTTTGGCAGGCCTATGGAGATGATGTTTTGTCAAAGGCCCAGGTCTTCAGGTGGTTTAAGGTATTTTCAGAAGGAATGGATTTGATTTAAGATTAGCCTCATAAGGCCTGCAAGGATCCTGTACATTCCAATTGTCACTTGACAGTCAAAAAGATTGCAGAAGCATTGAATTTGAATCATATAACTTTTCATCACATTTTGACAAAAAATTCAGGAAAGAGGAAAATCTGTGCGAAAATTGTTCTAAACAAGCATTTTTAAGAATAAATGAACAAGAGAGATAAATGCTTTGGTTTTCTGGAGAGAGAAATGAAAATGATCCTCATTTTTTTAAATATATCCTTGCTGATGATGAGTCTTGGGCATTTGATTATACCCAGAAATAAAGCTCCAGAGCCAGGAATGGCATACTTCAAACTCACCAAGACCAAAAATAAGAAAAAAAGCAATAACGAACAAATTAAATATCCAAAGCATGTTGATTTGCTTCTTCTATGGTCAGGGAGTTATCCACAAAGAGTTTGTGCCTCCAGGCTAAATGGTAGAGTTTTACGGAGTTTTTACGGAGGAGTTCTTGAAAAGACATCAAACAAAGGGTCATGAGTACAAGACCAAAAGTAAAGACCATGCACCATGGGGGATGCACTGAAACAATGAATCTTATAATAAATGTAACAATGCATTTTCAGTTAATGAGTTTTTGGAAAATAAAAACATCCCTGTGGCTTCTCAGCCCCCTTATTACCCCAACTCAAGTCCATGTGATTGTTTTTATTCCCAAGATTTAAAGCCTACCTCTAAAGACTTCATTTTGGGACACAAGACAGTATTAAAATGGCTATAACTAGCTAGCTGAAGATAATTCCAGTATCCAAGTTTGAGCACTTATGGAGTGGAAAAATCATATCCAACACTATGTGATTTCACAAGGTAACTACTTTGAAAGAGAAAATGTGAGACTGTAATTTTAACTAAACATAAAAAAAGAAATTAGTCTTATTACTTTGATACGATTAATTTCTTTCCTCATCTTCTAATCAATAACTTGCTTTAAAGGGAAGATTTAACTCATTTAATAATATGTTTTAAATGGAAGATGCCCCAGCAATATTTTGCTGCTGTTTTATAGAATTGATGCTTCTGCTTTAATATTTTTTACTTTACATTTTATTTTACAAACACCAAAATTGCTTACTGGAAAGACAAGACGTTTTATTATTTAAACAAATATCTAATAATTAAGATTTATAGTAAGCAAAGTACAGTTACAGGCTTATGCATATACAGGTGAACAATTTTACATATTAACAAAAAGTTTATATTTCTTAGTGTTAAAATGGGCAAAAGTTACTGCTTAAGTCTATATAGTGACACAACACCATATAGCTTGTAATTATTACATGGTGTTTTGCATCAATTCATTTATTATAAATGCCAAAATATATCATAAATTAATATCATCAAGAATAGTTGCCAAAATATATTACAAGTAAATACCTCTTGATACCGAGCATTTCTTTTCTTAATACTAAATTAAAATAAAAAAATACTTACAGCTGCTCCTCGATATTCAGGAACACCATCAATCATTTTCATATTTTGTATCCTACAATTCACAAAAGATAATTACATCTCTATACTCAATATACAAAACCACAAAAAACTGCAAATTATACGCACCTTTAATGAAATAAAAGCAAGGAAAAAATTATACTTTAAAAGAAATATAATCTAAAGCACTATTGCAGCTAAATTTATTTCAAACAAATGCTGAAATGATAATAAATAAAATTTAAACTAAAAACTCACACATTAAAATATTTAGTTATTGAAATTTCACTTATTTTTATATTTTACTTTAAATAGTAATTTTTGTTTAAGTCTATTAAAAAATCATAAATATAATGTTAACCATCTGCAAAGAGGTACCCCAATACAAGACAAAACAGACAATGCTCATTCATAAACTATACTTTCTGTACTGATATTTAAAATTGGATATTGCCTTTGTTAATACTTGAAATCTGCAGCTTTAAGTTGACAGCCAAAAATTTATTTCAAAGATGTATAGAATAGTCATTCCTCATTTATTCCAGGGCTTGATGGCATACACATTGTTTACAAGAAATCATGCAAAAACAGTTGAAAGAAAAATGTGGATTCTTTTTCTTCTTCTTCTTATACTCTACAGCCAATTTCTGGCCAAGGCTATCTCCGTCAGCTTCTGCCATCTTGACCCATTCAGTGCCACAGTCCTCCACCATATAGACAATGTTCCAACGTTCTTTAACCACTTTTCCACATTGTCCAGCCACCTCGTTCATGGTCTTCCTCTTCTTCTCTTTCCTTTTGGAATATCAATTTCTTCACTCAGTTTTCATCTCCATATCTGTATATATGGCTTACCAATCTTAGTGGAGAGGCTTTACATAACTTTTATTATATTTGGTTCTCTAAATTTTTGCTGCAGTTCAAAATTATATTGTCCACACTTCATTTTCCCTTATTGCTTCATTTAGTTTTACTGCTTAAGTATTTTGATTTAAACTGGTTTCATAGCTATAATAGCATCTGTTAACCATTTTAATTCTGTTCTTGATTTCAATAGCTATATCATTATTATTATTTACAATTGTACCCAAATATTTAAATTATTTGACCTCCTTAAATGCATTATCATTTATTTTCGGTGGTATCAGGTTATATCTTCTATTTCTGTCAGGAATTTAGCTTTTTTTTCTTCATTGATGGTCAAACCAATCTTTTTAACTGCCAACTCAAGCACACAAAAAGCAAAAGATAAGATTACCTGAGCATAAATTAACTAAAAATTCAAATCCCCCTTATAGAAATACAGAGCTCTGAAAAAAAAAAACACTTTCTGTTCTTTCATTTCAACATTAAATATATATATATATATTCTTTATAATCTTAAATAATAGAAGAGATAATAACAACATTACCTTCCCAAAAAATGATTATTTGTGTTTGAAAGAAATACTGAAATGTGGCAGCTATGTTGCAGCCACAATCCAGTGCTTATTAACATTTATTTATATAAGAGAATACTGACAGCAGAATAAAATGAAGTAAAGTTCTAACCTGGTTTTGGCAATATCAACAGGCATTGAAGCAGCAGTAGTTATTAAACCGCTGATCATACTAGAGGCAAAATGGCACATAATGTTGTCTTTAAAATAACCTGAAAATTACACTACATGTATATCAAGTAAAACACTCAAACACAAAATTAGAATCAGCACTCTATCACAAGCCATTATTATTTCAAGTGTACAATAATTTATCAATAAAATTGGGCATAAAAAATATTTTCCAAGACAAAGGTGCACCACTCGTAGGAAATCTACGCATCCTCAGAAATTGCTTAAATTAATACCTAGAATCAAGCTATTTGAAAAAATTCACAACAAAAGATATCAAGGTTCGTACACATTTCTGCAAACGAAAATTAAGCACTTTTAAGGACCATTAATGAAAAAAATGAAGGACCTATGAATAAATGGGAACTGAATAAATTCAATTTAAAATAATATCTATGCTTAACTTCACTTTTTTAATACCATCCTAAAAATAAATAGATCTGTAAGTTTGAGACATTATTATTAAACATAACATAGTTGACATAATTATTAATAAGTTAGGGAATAAAATCAATTTTATAAATTGTATCAAGTAGCATTAAATATTTTACACTTATAATAATTAGACATATTTGAAAGAATATAAATGACATTTTATTTATGTTTTAGTAACAGTTTGCTTTATGTTGATGTTTTTTATGTCTCATTTTGTCACATACTTACTCACTCTAGAGGCTTAGTAAATAGAAAGTAGATTTCGTGTCAAGCGGCATACGGAAGTAAGATTATAATGAGCATGATTCATGACAAAAGATTGGATGTTGTCACTTCGCTTGCTTAGAGAGAGACCTGCTGATTAGAACAAACCTGAAAGGCCTGATGTAGGCACAGTTGACAAGTTTTTTTTTAATCTTGGGGGGGGGTCTGTCTGATGCAGTTATGTTATAGCTTCGTGTAGAGTTCCAGGGGTTATAACCCAATTAATATACCTCAAGGTTCCAATGAGCCACTAAAGCACCAGAGACGATAAGTTGTTTTGTACTATTTTAAATCTCACTAGATGCGAAGAATAAGTTTTACATGAATTTTTTCATTTTTGTGTTTTATCTTGCGACCACAGCAAGGATTAATGAAAGACAATAATTCGCTTTAATACACAGAGATAATTTTTAAGGGTGAGCAATTAGTTATAAATAATTAAATTAGGTAGCTAGATAACATTACTCATTAGGGATTTACATAGCCACTATTAAATTTTATTTATGGTTTAAAAATATTTGTTAAAATAAAATTTCACAGTTTAAAATATATGTAATTTATGACAATGATTCTTAAACGATATTAGGATAATTACGCATTAAAAGCTACAAAATATTTATGCTTTGTAGCAACAACACTCAAATATTTATTCGTCTTTTTAATTTGAAGCCTTCGCAGACATATTGGCTAATTTATATCAATTTCCTTCTCTTTAAGTATCTTTTCTAATAATTAGAAATTCATGTCAATATGCAAACAAACATTCTCACTAGTTTCTGTATGCTTTATCTCCTAACTTGTTAACCTCTCCACAGTGTACCTATGAGGGTTTACTTGCTCTGGCAAAAGTCAAAAAGTCCAACCCCCCTTTCCGACAGACGTAAAGCAAATTATTGCTATGTCTCACTGTAACTACCAAGGCAGACAAAGGTTTAAATTAGCCTCTTATTTAAAAAGAACTTAGAACATAAAGGCATGTTTTTAAGCTAAGAAAATCAATTACAGCTCATGGTGATGTAATTAAACAAGAAGAGTTGAATTCAAACTAAAAATATAGACTAGTGGACTATTCAATTTAATTTTAATTTAAGCTGGCTCAGTAACTCTCATATGAGGAAATAGAAATGGGAAATTATAATAAAGGCTGAAATTATAAACAACTGGGTAATTTACATAATATAACTGTACATATCTTTGAAGAATAATTTTCTTTATGTATTCATTTCTTTCTTCAACACATTTCCTTTTTACTTTTTTTACTTTAAAATTTTTGGATTTAATTAAGGATTTCTGTTATTCTAAAAAACTAAATGCATTTAGAATGTGTAGAAAAAGCTGCTAATTTTATTTCTTTAGTAATATAAACATTCAGAAGAAATATGAAATATATATGGTAAGGGCCGGTTACAGAGATAGTGTGGCAGAATTTTTAGAATTTAGTGACACACTGAGCAACAAAATCTAGAAATGGCAAAACTGTCAAAATTTAGAGCAGGCATTAGAAGCAGAATTTAGAAAGGCAGTAGGATGAGGAGTTTAAGATCCTCAGATATTGCATCAGGTAGGAAAATGCCTAATGCTAGTCCTGTGTATGATGCATTAAGACCTATCAGATGAATCTTTTAAATTGTCAGTTTTCAGTTTCTTTATTAATAGAAAAATTCCTTTCTATAAATGCATCCATGTGATAAGATCAGAAGCATTTTTGATATTTTGCATGCTTTTGTCTAGTGAAAAGTAGAGAAAATTCAAATATCATGTTTTCATTGTTTTTCCAGATGTTCTCCAAAAAAAAATAAGCAATTCATCGCAAACTTTCTGTAAAATACATCCATTATGTGTTAATACCATGGAGATATTTTTCTGGAATCTGATAGAATCGTAGGTCTATAAAACTTGCCTTCAAATCCTTCTAAACTTTCCAAGCTGAAATGCCTAAAATCCTAAAGAAAATTATCCCTACAACTTCTGTAATAGCAAAACGCCAGAAATATTCTGGGGGGGGGGGGGAACACAGAGGGAAAAAGTGTAAAGTTAATTTTATAGAGAAAACTGATGCATATTCTGAGACAATTATACGGGGAAAATTCTTACTATGGAAAAATTTTTAAAAAGACATTTAAATTAATTACATATCTAATTTTGCTTTTGCTAAGAAATTGTGTTTTATAGCATTACATCTTATTTATTCTTCCAATTCAAAATATTGTATAAGTTGCCAAAACGGAACTTTATAATATGACAGCAAAAAATAAAAATGTTTTATTTTAATGTTATTTTTTAAATACGATTTCAATATACAGTCAAAAGTCTTTAATATGGACTCGTCGGGACTTCGGCAATTCCAGATTATCAGTTTTTCCGGATTAAAGATTTATAGATCAATTTAAATCTGGTAAGATGGCATGCAGAAATTATAAAATTAAAAATATGAAACCGTAATTTATGAAATAAAGAGCAATTATGATCTAAAGGGTATAAAAATTTACAAAAAAAAAAAGCTTAATATTTATTTGTTTACTTTATTAAATATTTCTTTCAACACGCGCATGCGTAAAGCTTACATTACGCATAATGGGAAATTTGAAAATTGCAACCAGAAATTTATTTGATGTGTATTTGTGATATTTATAATGACGAGGAATTTGATTTAAATCATATCAAAGACGGAGTACATCGAGATGAAATACTACATTTAGTAATTAATTATAAGCCAAATAAAATAAAAACATCTGCCCTGAAGATAAGGATAGTGCTGACAGATCAACTTCAAGTTAATTGCGTGCTGCGCTGTTCTCCCCCCCCCCGGCAGAGCAGCGTGAAATTGATAAACAGATTTCGGAATGGTTTCTGTCCATCCATTATACATTACACGTGCATGCATAAACGTATTATGCGCATGCGTAAAGTTATAATGCGTTTATGCATGCGCTGAAAGTTTGCAGCTTTGAGGTCCAGATTAAAGACATTTGACTGTATTACCATTATTTTAATGAAATGTACCAATGTTACAATGTTTTTAAAAAAAAATTGTTGAAAAATTGCCAGGTCTTGGATTTAAAAATTTTTTATAGAAACTGATCTTAAAATCACTAAAATGTTGATAAATCGACAAATTTAGAACCGTTTAATAAAAGAATTCACATCCCCAAAAGCAAAAAGTTGGTTAAGAGCTCTTCATTAGAAAAAATTAAATAATTTAGAAATGCTTATGTTTCACTTCTTGCTCAGAAACTCAAATATCCCACCATTTATATTAGAAATAGGAACAAATTACAGTCAAAAGTCGTTACTTCGGACACCCAAAATCCGGAATGATCTATAATCCGGACCTCAAAGCTACAAACTTTCTGTGCATGCGTCGCATTGACGCATGCGCGTAAGACATTTATGGCTGCGAATACGCGTGTGCGCGTGCGCAAAATACGTTTACGAATACGTGTTTAATGTATACATGATGGTATAAGCTAAGTAAAATTATCTAATTCAGTTAATGTTGCAGATTGCATTGTTCCTTAATCTTCGAATTGGATTCGGCTTATTTTTTGCAGACTGTTAGAGCAATTTTATAAAAGTAAGCTTGAACTTTCGATTATGTCAAATAGAATTTCTAATATATATTTACTAATATGTAAAGGATCTACAAAGCGAAAGTATGTTTCGAAGTCCATTAAACAAACAGTGGAATTGCTGCAAGAAATGGATAAAGGCATATCCTTTGTTTATCTAAACTTTGTTTATCTTCAACGCCGCGGTGGCGCGCGCAATGAATTGTAAGTTGATCTGTCAGCACTATCCTTATCTTCAGGGCAGATGTTTTTATTTTATTTGGCTTATAATTAATTACTAAATGTAGTATTTCATCTCGATTTCCTCTGTGATATGATTAAATCAAATTCCTCGTCATTATTAATTCGCTTCCGATAGCGAAGTAAGTGACACAGGTTATTGAAAACGAAAAAATTTCGATGAAAATTAGTCGGTATTCTCGATACAGCATTAGGACTTGAACAGCGGAACTTTGTAACTGACAAGAAATTATGTCTGTTTATAGAATTAAAGAGAATGTATTATCACAAAAAACGAAGCAACTTAACATTACATTGAAAGAATGTTTATAAAGTAAACAAATAAATATTAGCTTTTTTTGTAAATTTTGATACCCTTTAGATCATAATTGTTCTTTATTTCATAAATTACAGTTTCATATTTTTAATTTTATAATTTCTGCATGCCATCTTACTAGATTTAAACTGATCATCTATAATCCTATAAAATCGATAATCCGGAATCGCCGAAGTCCCGACGAGTCCGGATTAACGACTTTTGACTGTATAACCCATGAACCTATTCCCCAATTCAAAAGATAAGTGTATTTGTCAGTGAATTGCCAAAAATATTCCTCCAAAATGCTAATTTACACTCAAATATAAAAGAGACAAAATTTAAGTATTAAATTAAGGACCTTCTGCAGATTTGGGTCGAAATTAAGGACTTTTAAGGACCAAAAATTGATTCCAAAAAACCTAAAGATTTTTAAGGAAATTTAAGACCATACACCCTGGATAGTTAATCAGGGATGATACAAAAGAGATCAGTAAAGTTAAATTTAGACATTCTGTAATTAAGCACTCAAGCATTTGTCCTTAATTTTATTTATTAACTATAATAAGAATTTATATATTAATAAATGTATAAATAATGCATATTTCATTAAGTATAATAAACTTTAAATTCATGTATATCTTTATAGCATACTAAAATAAAAGCTTTCAATTTTCACACTTTTACCTATTACTTGGAGTGAACCAAATAAAGGCAAAACCTATTAGCCTAAGATATGATTTAAATTTTATTGCTTATTACCTTTTTAGCATAAAATACAAATTAAATTATCAAGATGGAAATATGGAACTTGCAAGTTAAAAATGGATGATAATCTAGGGATTATAATCTAGAGAAATTATAATCTAGGGATAAGGACAATTTTATATTAATGTTCTTAGTATATGCAATGATTTTCAATCGAATGTAACTTAGTTGATGGCTTTCTTATATGTAACTCATGTAAATGCTATATGTAATTCATGTAATTTCCACTATATAACACATCAAACGGATGTAAGAGTTGAATATTATGGGATTAATTTTATATAGAGAGATTAAGATGAAAAAGCTTCTTTTAAATTTACAAAACATACCACTAGCCATTAAAATTGCAGCACTAACAAGGATGTAAGACACAACCAAGTTTATTTTACAAATTCCTTATAATACAAGATAAAATCATTGAAATTTCAAGATCACAAGACAAATAGAATATCCTGCATGTGACCACCAGGACCAATAATAACCATTGCTATATAATGAGGTACTGCATTAAAAACACTTTGAATACCACTTTGAGATATTACAGTCAATGCAGCTAGAACTTGCCAGAATTCAACTGCTGTAGCTACTAGTGATCTTTGTCACATAGTCAGGCATGTGTCAGACATTTTTACATAGGTCAGTCAGAGAGTTAGTTACACCTCTTAGAAAAAACTTCCTTTTAAAGGCTATTTCGATGAAACTCTCTGGCGACACTTCAGACATTTAGTTGTATAGTGTGGCGTAGTGGCTTTTACGAGGCAATTTTAGTTTGTCTGATAATCAGTCGTAAGCATGTCTGGACAGCTGCAAGTGGCATCCAAATTGGAAATGCGTGCAGTGATTCACTTTTTGTAGGTGAAAACATGTAAGGGCTGTAAAATTTATCGACAGTTGCATGAAGTTTATGGTGACAATGCAATGTAACATCAAGCTATTGTGAAGTGCAACATATTTAAGAACAAACGTATAGATATTGACGACACTGAGTGTGATGGAAGACCATCAACTGCAACAAATTCTGAAATGTCTGCTGGCGTGAATGAATGCATTCTGGCAAACAGATGCATAACAATAGCCGAAATCTCTAATGAACTGGATATTTTTCAGGAAGAGTGCATAAAATTACTGCCGATCAGCTTCAATTTCATAAAGGTTTTGCCTCGTCTACTGACAGACGAACATAAAGGGAAGCGTGTTGAAATTTCTGCAATGTTACCAAAAAGAAGGAAATCAGTTCTTGGAAAAAATTGTGACTGGAGATCGAGTCTTGGATTCACCACTTCTCACCTGAAACAAAACGCAGCTTCCTCAAGTGGAAACATTCCACTTCCCAGAGACACAAAAAAAAGTGTTGAACTGTTCCATCTGCAGAAAGTGTAGTGCTGAAGCTGTTTTCGGCAATGCATAACCGCATGCAGCAAATCAAACGTGCAACCTTCTGAAAAAGTTTAGGTGGGAAGTCTAGAATCACCCTCCTTATAGCCCACACCTTGCAAGGTGATTTGTTTTTGATCCCATAGAAGCAGAACTTTCAAAGAGATGATATCACTGGGATGACGAGGTGAAAACGGCAACCCAAGAATGGTTATCGGGCATTGGATGGGATTGCTTTGCAGAAGGCATCGACAAACTTGTACCATACTTTGACAAATACTTAAATAACGGAGGTAATTATGTTGAAAAGTACATTTTGAATGGAACTTTAATATACAAATAAATTTATTGTAAAATTTCTCTCCTGTTTTGTTTTCTAGAGCAGTGCAATTGACTTTTTAACTGACCCTCACAGTTCATGAATTTTCTATGTCCAAGGCAGAACTGTAACATGCTATGTGTTGAGAAAGTATCAGATACTGATTAATGTTATATGTGGTTGAACCTTGTCCTGTTAGAAGAGAGTTCTAAAGTTCTGAAAATATCAGAAAATCACAGTTCTTAACACATCTGTAACATAAGGTTGACTACCAGATTATGTGTACTCATACCCAGTCACACCCCATACCATAACTCCCTATGCTGATACTTCTTGGCATACCATACACTGTAATTCCTGTACTAAGGAGCATGATATAATTATAGAATCCATATAGACCACTGAAACAAGATGCCTCTTGGATATTTTGGCACACTAGGATAAGTTTTGAATTCGCATATTGCTTTACAAGTCCTCCCTGAACTTGGAACCTGGTTCTAGATTTGCATGACAGCAGCCAGATTTTGACCAATGCAGCAAGTTATCAATATTCTGCAGTCAAACTACTATACTAATGTGTATTTAAATTTATTTTCAGTCTGCAGCTTAATTTGCTGCAATAATTATCACCCTTATCTAATGTTGAAGATAAAATTCTAAATTTTAAATTTAGTTACTTAAATTACCTTATTTCCTAGTGTGCTTTAAGAAATTAAGCTAAAATGTATTCCCAATTCTATCTAATTGAAGTACTCTGTTAAAGTAAGAGGAGTAAAATCCTTCAGTTTATTCAATATTGGCATTGGTTAAAATTTTAAAAGTGTAACTTTAATTTTGCAATAATTTAACTTTAGTCATACTAATGTTTGCTCTTAGTTATTTTGCATTTTCTCCTCCCTTAATGATAAAAATAGAGAGCTCTTATCTCTAACAATTTAACTTTAGTCAACAATGTTCTTAGTATTGTCTCTATCTAATTTGCACTACAATAATACAGTGGAAGCTTGGGAAATTCTGAATACTGAATATATGAAAATTCTAGATAGTTGAACATATAAGAAATGCAATTCACAATAGAAAACCCAAATGTATGGAAGAAGAAAAGTCTATTATACATCTAAAGTTATAAAAACAAACATCTTTATTTGTTATCCAATTGAATTTCAAAAGTAAAATTATGCAACATTTCAAACATAAGAGTTTGTGTATTTTAACAGATTTTAAACATGCAGAAGAAAAGAATTTCATCTGATACTAAAATCCTATCAACCATGAAACGTTTGTGAAGATTCTGCCACAGAAACACACATGTCATTCTAGCAGAAGTGAAAAAAATCAAATGCACATGTGCAAAGCATACAAAAAAAAAAAAAAAAAAAAAAGGGGGTGGTTGTTGGTGGCTTCGAAGTCCAGATTTTAGATCATTCCAGATATTGGACGTCTGGATCTCGGACTTTGTACTGTACAAATCATTGTTACAAGAATGATTAGAGAAACACTTCAACATAACATAATCCAAATATGAAATGCCATCAATGAATAGAATGTATAGTGAAAATAGATTTACTTGCATATTGAAAATGAATGGACATTGTTTATTTTTAAAGCTGGCATGAGAGCAATAAATAAATAAAGTGAGTAAATAATGCATACTAAAGATAAACAATTAAAATTTAAAGGATTAAAAAGCATTCAAGAAGATTCAAAATTTTACCTGTCGACATAAGCAATTGTTTTGCTTGAGAATAGGAAGCTAACTGAGCAGCATTAACAACCATTGCTCTCCCAACAGTTGGAAGACATCCCTGTAAAATTTATGATCATATAAACAATACAGACTAAAAAATTATATCAAATGGCTTTTGAGCAATATAGATGGAAAAGATAGATCATACTCTCCATAAAGTTAAAACACCTTCTTCTCTTGTAATCCTAATAAGTGCATCAAATACATTCTTATAGCCTCGTCGTTCTGCCTCTGGCAATCTGAATTGCATTAAGATATGCATTAAAAACAGTATGAATCAGAAATTAATTTCAAAACTAAAAATTAATAAATAAATATTAAATTAGAAAAACAATGGTCAGTATCTAGATATGTAATCTGTGTCATCATAAAACCCATCAGTTTAGTATATTATTAAAAAATTATGTACAGCTGTAAATTATTAAGAAGCGTATTTATTGTTTTAAAATTGTTGGTTTATTAAAGCACGATAGCAAAATGCAACAGCTCAAAAAATATGATGACCTATGACAGATATAAATGCTGTTTGCATGCATGGCAGCACTTTTTTTATAGTGTAGTGCCTCCTATGTTGTTTCTAAAAACTATTTAATTTTGTTAAATAGCAACTCCATTATTTTTCAGATTCTAAATAATAAAAAATTAAAATGTTGTTCTTTCTCTTCCCGATATAAAATTCTCTAATCTTTTTTTTATTTCGGTGGTTTAAAGATAGGTGAAAGGTTAAAAAACAAAGATTATTTTAATATTACCTTCATTAATGACAACCAGACTCAATCATTAATTAAACATAAATGGCCGACAATGATGAAAACAAAAGTAAAAACATTGGCCATCGCTAGCGATAGCATTAAAGCCTTTCAACATTGGCCATCGCTAGCAACATTGGTCATCGCTAGTGTTAGCATTAAAATTCCACCATTTAGCAAACCAGATCCAAAAATATGGTTTCTGCAGTTTGAGGCACAATTTTGAAATGTCGCAATAGAGGCAGATCAAACAAAATATGATAACATTGTCAGCTCCACTGAAGTTGAAATATTATCACAAGAGTCAGATATTTTGATTAATCCACGAAAAGACGACAAATACATTACAATTAGAAACAGGCTCATTTCTATCTTCGGACACTGAAACCCAAAAGACTCAAAAGCTATTTACTGAAGTAGTTATATGTTACTATTAAATATATGTTATATGTTACTATTAAAAAAAACTTTCTAGCAATATGTGAAATGAAAAATTTTGTCACTGATAAGCATTTTATCAGTCAGCAGTGATAATTTATCAAAATTGGAGACATTGGCTAATAAAATGTGGGAAATAAATTAATATTACATCTGAATTCTGCACTTGCATGTTCCACTGACAGCAATGTTTTAGTTAAGCTACAACAGCAAATTTCAGAGTTGCCATTACAAGTTCAATATAAGGCAGTTCTTCAACATTTTAGATGCAGCTCTAGAGGCAATTCTATTAATAGGTGTAGTAACAGAACAACACAGCATATGTTACTATCATCTGAGGTTCAGCAATGAGGCTTTCAAATGCATTAAACCTTACAACCGATCTAATAAGACAGAAAGGCAGCAGAAGGAAAACTAAATACCTGGCTCTTGCAGATGACAGAGAGTCAAGAAAAAAAAAATCCGTTGCCAATTTGGAACTCTTTGCCGCAAAATGGAACCAAAATTAAAACTTATGGACAAAAGTTGCTAAAATTAGATATGAAACTTGGAACAACATTTGATCGGTCTTTTTGTGATTGCAGATGTCAATAAACCAATAATAGGTATTGACTTTTGTCACATTTTCACCATTTAGTTGACACTAAAAACAGCAAATTAATTAATGGCATCACATCCTTATCCTCTATTGGTATTCCCTGCTATTGTGTTGTATGGAGTTATTCTTAAACAATTTCTTGATCTATTACAACCAACACTTGTCAATAATAAAATTAAGAATCATAACACTGAATATTTTATAAAAAACAAAGGAGCTCCTGTTACTGGCTAGGGCTTTCTTATTTACTTTTGTTTGCATATAAAATCTCCAAATTCAGTCTGTTAGCATCTAGAACCAAGCATCATAATATTAAGTGCATATAAAACCCACAAATTCAGTATGTTAATGTCTAGAAGCAGGCTATTAGCAAATATGATGCATTACATTAAAGCTTCTTTTTTGATGAAACTGCTCTCATTAAATGTGAAATTGTTATGGAGGTCAAATCGTGACTGGCATTTCAGTTATAGACCACTGGCTACCATAACTCAGCTAACTGATGTATTTCTGATAAAGATAGATTAATAAGAAGAGCTGATTTTTATTTTATAGTAGATTTTTTTTTTTTTTTTTTTTTTAAAGTTAACAAAGTATGCAAGGGCTAGCTTGTCTAAAGAGAGATATGCATCCTAATTTTTATAGTTAAATATTAATTTTAGAGCACAGATGTTTTTTAGAAACATAGTGATATGTAAAAACAAAACTAAATATATTTACTCTTTTACCATTATAGAATTGCATGAGGATTACAGCAATAATTTGTTATCTTTGTTATTAATGTGTATTAATTAAAATACGTTTTACATATTAAAATGAATGTAATAAATTAGTAGTTTACTAATAAAATATTTAAACACTTACCAACCATTTTTTACCCTCCCCCAGGGCTAAAATTATTTTCTACTGACAGAAGGCCAGTTCTAGTTTATACTGAGGATGAATAATAATAAACTTTTTAAAAAACAGTACTTGGGCAAAGTTTTCTGGTTGTAAAAAATTGAGAATGTGAAGAAAAAGGTTCTAAAGCATGAAGAAATTTCCTTTTAATGGATCAAAAATTTCAGTTGTATTACTTTTTGTTAACTGTAAGTGGTGCTCCTAATCTAACTGTCCATGCACAGAATGTAATAGCAGCATTAGTGCAGGCATTCCTTTTAGGGAAAATTATGTTGCTCAGATTTTTGTGAACAGAACTTTTAGTTATTTATTTCTTGTTTAAAAGCATAAAAATTAATTAAAAATTTTTCTGGTTAATCTACAATTTTTTTAAGCCTAAAATACTTTGACGTACTTTTTTTTTTTTTTTTCCTTTCTCAAAATATTATTATTTACCCCTTTTGCTCAATGACACTTTCTCCTCAGGCAAATTTTTTTCTTTAGCATATACATATATTTAAGAAACATGATAGCTTTATATTACATAAATCTTAAGGTATGAGTATGTTTTGGATAGTTATTTAAGCACAAACAGTCCAAATTTACCATGAAAATTAGCACACAGACTTAATTAGCAAAATTTTCAACTCTGTATAAACTAAAGTGTGTGAATTACATAAATAGTGTAAATTACAGGAATTCTGATGTATTATTTGTACTATATCCGGAATGATCTATAATCCGGGCCTCAAAGCCACAATATGCATGCGTGTAAAGCCAATAAAGCGTTTACCCATGCGTGCTTCCGATAGTGAAGAAAGTAACAGAGAACGTTATTGAAAATGAAAAAATTTCGATTGACAAGTAGTCGGTATTCTCGACCAGCAATTACAGACTTGAACAGTAGAACTTGTAACTGAACAGAATTATGTCTGTTATAGAATTAAAGAGAAGTATTAGCACAAAAACAAAGCAACTTAAAAACTAATTGAAATAAATGTTTAACAAAGTAAACAAATAAACAAACTTTTTTTTTTTTTTTTTTTTTGAAATTTTGATACCCATTTAGATCATGATTGCTCTTTATTTCATAAATTACAGTTTCATATTTTTAATTGTATTATTTCTGCATGCCATCTTACCAGATTTAAATAGATGATCTATAATCCAGAAAAATCCCTAATCCAGAATCGCCGAAGTCCTGACAAGTCCGGATTACGGACTTTGTACTGTACTAACATGGTAAACTGCAAGTTCTGCTCAGAAATTTAACAATTAAAAAATCCTGACAATTATGCCCCATTCAAATAACCTAACTTGACCTAAAAAACTCCAAATTCATCCATTCCATAAATTAGAGTATTATAATTATTACAACCACAACCATTAAGTACTGTATTACATTGTTACTACTGCATGACTGCATGAATAAATTTTTATTAGAAATAACTTAAAATAGTATGTTATTTATTATTTGAATTTCCTATTTTTTACTTATAAAATGTTTCATTTGAATTCTCTAATTCATAAAGCTGCATATACACATGACTTCATATAAATATGCCATAAAATACAACACAGTAATACAGCATTTGCTTTTCTAGAAAAATACAACATATTACTATTTAAAAGTAGAAAATAGTAATACTCCTCACTCCCAAGTTGATAAAAAGTGGCCAAAGAACTATACCTTTATGATTCACAGTTTTGGGGAAAAACATGAATGAAAATTTATGATCCCATATTCAATGCAAGGGAAATAAATATTTTAAATAATAAACCTATTAAAATAAATTAGTAGTCAACCAGTAAATTTATTTAATACAGGCTATCCTACGTCATTTAAGACAAGTTCATTCATTATGTGCAAATTATTAAAACTGATTCTGTAACCACAAAAAGTCACCTCCTATATACCCCACTTAGCAACAGTTTCATTTTTTTTATAGCAGCATTTTGCACATTATCTAAATTAAATAACAAATAAAATTTGCACTGAAATCTACAGTTTATTTGTGATATATTTTAGCATATAATAAGCACCTATAATTTCAAACTACATTTTCTAATTTTTAGGTACATTTTCCATGTAACATGCACCCCTTTTTTTACGAAGAAAACCAAAATGTATATGTGCATTATATGGTACTTTATTTTCCTTGCACAAGATAAGACATCATAGGGACTTTGAGGTGTAGTTTTCTTTGGCAATTTTTTATCCATTCAAAGCAAGTGAGACATTTAATTAAGGCCGGATTTACATATAAGCTACACAAGCTATAGCTTAGAGCCCCAAAAATTACCCCCCAAAAAATTTTAATATAGTATAACTAGTAATAAAATATATTATAGCAGACTTATAAAGGGTCCCATATCTCATATAACTTAGGGCTTTATCAAGTCTAAATCTGGCTCTGCATTTAATCATGGAAATCTTTTTGAAATATTTCATACAATATAACATTCAGAAATACGAGGGCCATCCAGGAAGTAGATTACGT